CTGCTATAGATTTGGGAAGCCAGACAGCAGCTGACAAGCCCAAGATAAAAGGAGCATTCTTAATTTTTGAACCAGTAGAGAGAGGTTAAGAGCCCCCTCTCTTGGTATATTTTCCCATGTACATGAAAGGTAGCAAAAACATAGCGGCTGTCTGTGTAGATAGTGGCCCTTAGATCCTTAACCAAATTTAGGGTCTCTGTGAGGGCAATGCATTCAGCCCTTTGAGAGGAGGTGCTTTGATCTAGGGGTTTGGCCCAAATTACTTCTGTTTGAGTGGTTATGGCCACCTCTGCCATCCGTTTACCTTCAAGAAGGAAGCTGCTACCATGGGTGAAATATTCAACTCTAATGGAAGATAAGTGAGGTCTTGGCAAAGACTGGCAGTGGTAGAGAGCAAGTCCATGCCATCAGATGGGTACCTGTAGATCATCATCTGGCAGCAGGGTTGCTGGATTTAAGACAGTAGTCTCCTTTAATTCAATAAGGTCAGTGTTAAACAAGAGGGCCTGATATTGTACAATCCCAAATCTGAGAGCCATCTGTCGGGTGGGGTCATGAGGAGGGTTTCAACTGCATGAGGAGCCACAACTTGCAGCTTCTGTCCAAAAGTTAGTTTATTTGCCTCTTTTACTATCAAGGCAGTGGCTGCAATGGCTCAAAGGCAATTTGGCCAAAGACACTGAGTCTAACCTTTTTGAGAGATAAGTAATTGGGCAGCGCCATGGTGCCAACATCTGAGTCAGTACCCTCTTTGCTATCCTGTGCTTTTCTGAAATGAACAGAGAAAGGGTTTGATCAAATCTGGTAGGGCCAATGCTGGAGCTTGAGCAAGGGCCAACTTTAGTTTTTGAAATGTTTGACTTTCCCTCTCAGTCCAAACAGGAGGACCAGAAGGGATTCCCCCAGTTGCAACATGGAGAGGTTGTGCTAACTCAGCAAAGTCCAGGAGCCAGAGGCGGCAATAGCCTATGGATCCCAAAAACTCTGAATATGCCTTTTTGTCTGAGGTTCAGGAATTTGGAGGATAGCCTGAACTCTTTCATTTGAAATTGACCGATTTCCTTTAACAAGCATATAGCCCAGATAAGTCACCTCTTGTGTACATAGTTGAGCCTTTCTGGTTGAAATATGGTAGCCTAGGCATCTGAGTATGTATAGCAAATCTCAAGTGGCCTGTAGGCAACTTTGATAATCAAGGGCTGCCAGTAGCACATCATCAATGTATTGCAATATTGTGACTCCAGGGTTCACCACAATGTTCTTAGAGATCTTTGCTCAAGACCTCTTCAAATAAAGTGGGAACATTTTTGAACCACCAAGGGAGCCTACTCCAGGTTCATTGGCATGAACCTCTGGTGTCTGGGTCGTCCATTCAAAGGCAAAAATAGGTTGACTTACCGGTGTAATTTGGGAGAGTGAAGAAGGCATCCTTGAGTTCTAAAACCGAATACCATATCTGGTCTGGAGGTAGAAGACTTAGGAGCATATAAGGATTTGGGACAGTGGGATGAAGAGTAACAGCACACTCATTTACCTCTCTCAGGTCTTGGGCTGGGCAATAGCCTGTAGTTCCAGGCTTTTGGAGAGGGAGAAGCAGGGTATTCCAGGCTGAAGTACAAAGTATTAGAATATTTGCTTCCTTTAATCTCTGTATGTGTTTTGAGATTCCCAGTCTGGCTTGGAAACTGAGCATGTATTGGCCAACCCTGATAGGAATCACACAAGGCAAGAGTTCTATGACCAGGGTGTGCCTGGTTAATGGCCAGTCCAGGAGGGTTGATCTCTGCCCAAACAACAGGAATCTCATGCATGAAGAGGTCCAGCAATTTGGTCTGAAACTCTGAAGATACTTTTGGTGGGTCAATTATCAATAGGTGTCCCTCCATAATGGGGCAGGTTATCAGAAGACATATGGGTGAGTCTTTAATAGCTACTGTGCCCTCAAGGTTAACAAGGGAATTACCCCCAGCAAACCTAATGCTCCATGGAGCTTATGAAGTAGGTCCCAGCCAAGTAAGGGCTCAGGGCATTCAGGCACCACAAGAAAAGAGTGAGTTAAAGTCGGATTTCCCTAGTGAGTTATCTTAGTTCCTGTCCATGGGTAATGCTGGATGTCACCAGTGGTCCCTTGAATGACTAATGTACTCTTGGATATCTCCGAAAAGGGGTGTTGTATATTGAGTAACTGGCTCCAGTGTCAAGCAGGATATATATGGGTTACACACACACACACAGTTAAAAGTTATCTGGGGCTGAGGGGAAGTGGATGAACCCTGAAATTGTCAATCTTTTTCCAGTAAGATTCAAGGGGTGTTTTTCCCTTTCTCCAGTTGGGCCTTCAACTTTGGACAATCCTTTTTCCAATGACCCAACTGTTTGCAGTGACCCAAGCACATTGATTCTTGCCTAGTGGGACCCTCATGTTGATCCTTTTCTCTTTTGCCTTGAGTATGGCTTTCCACTAGGACACCCAAGATCTTGGTCAACTTTTTGTCTTGTGGGTCTTCCCTGTTTTCAAAGACTTTTGGGCTATCTCCATCAGCTGACTTATCATCCCCCCTTCAAAACCCTCTAATTTTCACAAGTTTCATTTAATATCAGGGGCTGAGTGAGAGACGGGTGCTATTTTAATAGCTCACCTATTCTCTGGTACCTCCAGGTCTATAGGTGTTTATATATTATAGGCCTCTAGGAGAAACTCAAGGAAAGCTGACAAGGAATCAAAAGCAAATTTCCTTACCTCAGTTACTTTTGATAAGTTGGCCAGCTTTCAGGCAGCACCCCAAGTACCACAAGAAGAGTCTGACAGTACCAATCAAGAGCCTTCTTACCTCTATCCGTGTTGGGCTCCCAGTTAGGGCAGGTCAGAGGGGAAACAGCATCAAGTCTCATAAGATCCAAAGTGGGCTCCCCTCCAGTGTCCAGGACAGATCAGTGCATCAAGCTTCGAGTTTGTTTGTGTCACCAGATGTGAAGAGAGTCTGCAAGAGCTGTTGGCAGTCATTGCAGGTTGGCCAATGAGTGAAACAAATGGTCTCAAAGAGAGATACTAGAGCCTGAGGGTCCTTAGAGAAAGGCATATTCTGTAATTTCCAATTATATATATATATCAATAGTAGAGAAGGGGACATAGGTGAAGATAGATCCCTGGGAGGAGTCCAAGGGAGGGACTTCCAGAGGGGTAGAATGGAGGAAGGTTTAGTGGAGTCAGGGCTAGGCACAGAATGGGATGGTGGGAGGCAACCCCTGCTGGTGTGGGGTGGCCTGGGAGGGGTAGGGACCTGTGGGGATGGTTCTGATGAGCTTGAAGAATCAGGGCAGTAAGGAGGGTAGAGGGAAAAAGGAGGGGAATCATCATCATCAGGAGGAGGCAGAACAGCAGAAGGACGTGACACCCTAGTTTTCATCATTGCCACAGGAGGAGGCTGTGTCCCCCAGGGTCCTTCTCATAGCAGTTTTCTTTTCCATGAGGAGTGGCCCTGGATCAGGTCAATCCAAACTTCAATATAGACCACCTGATCAGCATGTGTGGCTGGCTTATGCAGGGGCCCAAAATGACTTGGTGGACCTGGTAAGGCCATCCAACATCAAAGGAAGGCCATTCGAGTTCACAGAATGTTCTTAGTTTCTTAGGGTAGACAGGATCTCCATTTCTGGCAAGTCGATCCCTAAAATCTTTAAAATGATTACAAGTTGTAAGGGTGACAGAGGGAAGGAAACTGTTTGGCCCATAATAGTATACACATGAGATAGAGGTACAGAGAAGTAAACAAAGACAAGATGGTGGATGTCCTCTACAAAAACAAAGACAAGATGGCGGCAAGATGGCTGGAGCTTGCCCCAGAAACAAAGACATGATGGCGGGAGCCTGCCCCAGGAACAAAGACAAGATGGTGGGAGCCTGCCCCAGGAACAAAGGCAAGATGGTGGAATTCTGCCCTGTAAACAAAGAACTATCCAAAAAGCTATAACAACTGGAGCAGGTTCTTGTCTTTGCAACCAGGAGCTGGTTAAAATAACCAGGTGGCTATAGTCCTGCTTGCTAATCCTAGAACTGTCCCAGGAATTTAAAATAACCAATTTGCTAGCTGCCATCTAGCCCAGGAAGAGCATGTTTCTCATTGGAAATAACAAAAATCATGTAATGTAGTCAAACCAATCAGCTAAAAAAAAAAAAAAAAAAAAACTCTAGGAAACAGGTTACACTTTAGGTCTAGCTGGATTTACAAGGGCTCTCAACATCAGATGAATCAGGCCTAGAATATAAAGATAAAAGTTTTTGGGAACTAAGACAAGATCATGGCAATGTCTCAATTAGGTGGGAGCAAGTCTGTGAATTTAACTCCCCAAATGTGCATTCCCTGAACGTGCACCCAACAGAGGCTGGTTCTCTTCAAAGGGCGGTATTTTGCCTTATATTTGATGCAGTTGTGCCAAAATGGATATAAGCTTGGAAACTTGAGTTGGGGCATATGGAAGGGAGAAACTACAAAGTGAAACTACCTGCTGGTAGAAGAAAGCCATGATCCCAGAGATCCTCGTGTGTGGTTCCTCGGAAACGTCCAGTTCATCCAAGGAGTAGGAGTCCAGGGGTGAACCCCAAAAAGTGTTAATCCCGGATGAGCCCCCAAGTAATATGGGCAATGAAATTGATGGGCATCAAAAATTTAAAAAGAAGCGCTTTTATCTAGCTGAGTTTAGCAGTGGCACCATGCCCAAAGGTAACCCGGGCAGTACCCACCTGCCCCCCTGCTGCAAGGAGCTATAAAGCAATAAACTGCAAGGGGAGGCCTTAGGGTCATAAGATCAGTTTGTCACCATAAAAGGCAATTAGCTTTAGTTTACAGGTAATTAGAGGGTGGGATTACAAGAAACATGGAAGCAGGGAGGAGGATTATATGGAGTCATAAAGGCAAATTAAGTAACAAGTACAGCATATTTGGTATTTTATGCTTTCAACACCCAGATCTCTGGCCATCCTTGTCTGCTCTCTCTGGCAGGTGTCCACTTCTGAGGGCTCCTGACCCTGCCCCTGATCAACCACCCCTTGTCAGACTTCCTGGCCAGGATTCTCCAAACCTGCTTCCGCAATGGGTGGGTTGTGAGTGCTGGTAAGACCTGCTAGCCAGCCTTTGGCTTCTCTGTTCTCTGCACGCCTGGCCGGCCGCCCATACCTATTCTTTTTTCCCCTTTGCTGCTGCTGCTCCGTGGCCGCCTCTCTCCTGAACTTACCACCACTCAGGTAACGAGGAGCTGTGGGCACAGCCAGCCTTGGAGATGCCAAAAAGACGAGACATCCTTGCGATCGTCCTCATCGTGCTGCCCTGGACACTGCTCATCACGGTGTGGCACCAGACCACCCTCGCACCCCTGCTGACCGTCCACAAGGGTGAGCCCGCTCTGCTGCAGCAGAGCTTCCCCTCTCCACAGACAGGGGCAGCCAGGAGAACCCTAGAGATCATCTGAGTCATCTTACCCTTCTGGAGTCTCACACCACTCTGGGAATCTGGCAAAAACTCCACACACAGTTTTAAAGATACACCTTGGATTTGTTTTAATTTAGCATAACACAGAGACTGCTGCCTTCAAAGAATTTCTTATTCTCAGTTCCCAAAGAGAGGGAGCACGCTCCACAGAATCACGGGGGTGGGAAGTACTGGGGCAGGCCGGGGGAGACCTGGAGTGGGAGTGGGCCGAGTCTTTATTGTGGCTTCTGCAGGAAGGAAAAAGGCCAAGCAAGCAGTGAGGGGGACTCAGAAGTGGATCATTTGAATCCTTTCCATGGGTTCTCAGATGCGAGGTGGTTTCTAATTATCTGATGTTTGGCCATGGGGTGATTCAGGGCAGGGAAAGATTAGCTTGTGTTTGAGTTTGCTAAGGTGGTGGTTTGGGGTAAGGGTTCTGGGTTGCTTCATTTGCACATGAAAGGTGTGTTCAGGCAATTGTCTACTATCACTAGAAAGTAGTGCCCCTGGAAGGTGCAGACTCAGGTGTGCAAGGCCCTGAGAAGTCATGGCATCAATTATAGAAAAATTTTAGAAAACAAGATCCACGCGCATACATGCACAGCTTTCCATCAGGTCTCACCATGTGCAAGAAGCAGACCACTTAGCCCCAGATGCTAGGTAAGAAGAGCATCTGTGGCCCTTACCAGATATGTTTTTCTTGTTCTGTGTTTTCATCCCACTGGGGACAGACCCAAGGGCCTCCAGCATCCTAAGCAAGCACTGTACCACTGAGTTCACTCACAACTGTGCTGTAAGGTCTGTTTTGTAGTCCTTGAAGAGTGAACCCGGGCCCTTCACATTGAGCTTTATTCCTAGCCTTTTACTTCTTGAGAGACGCTCTCACTACCCCTCCCGGAGTCTCGATGGTGTTTTAAACCTTTTAAGGAAAGTGTTATGTTGCCCCATTTCCTGCTTAGGAGATTCTAATCTGTCAAGAGTCCTACCAGGCAGCACTGGGACTGAGCCGCCTGTCCTGGTCCAGCGTCTTGAGGCTGCCTTTTTCTCTTGCACCCGAGCTCCCTGTATTCCAACATCTGCGCACCCCACATCTGGCTGCTCTCACTCCTCAGCCTTTATTCTCATGCTTTTGGGGCATAAGCACTTTTAAGAAAGCACAATTCTCCCTTTTACAATGTTCATTATCCTTTTCTTCTGTTCATTTTTCTTTTAATGAGGTGCTGGAAATGGAATCCAGGGCCTCACATGTGCTAGGCAAGAGCTGTATCAGAGCTTCACTCTCAGTACAAATGCATCCTCATTTTATGTAGGAGCATGAAAAACAAGAAGGCCCAAACCCATCCCAGCAACAGAGAGGGTAGCTCTGGAGTCAGTCCTGTCACCAAGTAATACAGAGGCAGACACAGTTCAGTATCCGGTCCTGCAAAGCCTCCTGCAGTCCCTGAAGTTTTCTTGAGAAAGACCAAGCTCAGGATTGCTGCAGCCCCCATGCCCATGCTGGCACTTTGGGCCTCTCCACCTGATGGTATTCTCTGTTTCTGACACCAGCACTTCTCATTGGTGCCTGTCAGTTTAGAATCATGATTATCCTGAAAATATCAAGAGGACTTAAGCTGCTATATATAAAACAACATAATATCATTGTCTGTTGATAGAGCTCAGGTTGGAGGTACTGACTGTTTCACTAAGCACTGGTGCCATTCCCCCCGGGTAGTGACTTGGCCCTCAGTCTCCCCGGGGCAAGCCAAGATGGACTGATGGAGTGGATCCTGCAGTTCAGTGAAGGGACAGTCACAAGTAGGCCTTCATGACTCAAAGTTGCAGAAATCCTGAGGCCATGGGAAGGGTGAGTCCCAGCACAGGAGCCTTTCCTGACATAGGCCCTTACCTGCTGGTGTGACCTTGACAGCAGAATGTGGGCAGAGTGTGAATCGTTCCAGACCTCAGTTTCCTTTTTTGACTGCAGAATAAATGAAACCTTATATCCTGGTCAGAATCTTGGACATGCATCCCACCTTGTCCTTTCCAGTTTGACCCAGAATTCCTCCAGAAAGCCATCTTTGGTGAGCTGCATCTGTGCTGCTCTCCTCCCTGTACCTTCCCCTCCCCAAGCATCCTATCCACAGCCTGGGGACTGGTTCCCAGCTGCTAAGCACTAGGAGCAGCCCGTTTTCAGGACTTGACCATATCAGACTCCATACAAGCACCCTACACACCCTGCACACTGCCAGGAAGAGTGGTGGGCTGGAGTGTGCAACAGAAATGCCAAAGCCAGCATCCTCTTATGTGACCGTGCTCTTTCCCCCCCTCACTGTAGTCACATGGAGCCAGGAGGAAGTAGGGCAGCAAGCGTCCTACACAAGAGGAAATGATCCTAACTGTGCCTGGCAGTGCTCTGAGCCCAGAATGGGTATTGACTCATTAATCCACAGATTAACTCAATAAAGCAGATGCTATTAATATCTCCTGAAATCAAGGCACCAGAAGCTAAGTGACTTGCTCAAGAGCACATAGGCTTCCAGGAGAAGCGCAGAGTCTGAGCCTGGGCATCCAGGCTGTGAGGTCCATCCTCTGCCCCCTACCTCCCTGCTGCAATGGCATGTCATGGGCAGCAAGGGCCACAACATCTGTGCAGGGGCCCTTCAAACACAAGGACACAGCCTGAAACCAGAATGCCAGTGGCCTTTGCAGCTCCTCGTAACATGCCTGCTGCATCCCCTGAGGAAAATGTCTAGGATGTAAGGAAAACCTTGGTTGTTAGAGCTACCCCCAGCAGAGCAGGTTACCTCAGAAAGCACAGCGCTCCACACTTGAGTGTGTGGCCAGGGGCCAGGTTCAGAAACTGCCGGTGTCCCTTGTGGCATCCTTGGAGTGGAGACAGAACACACTACCTGGATGCTTGGACAGTGGGACAGTCAGGGTCCCAAGGGCTGAACCAGAGTGATCAGAAAGTGCAAATTAAGACACCAACACCAGGCAAAAAGAAGGTCTCCACTGTGTCCTCTTGTGGATTCCAAAATGGAAGAATGTTTAAAATTGGGAATAACATTCAGGATGCAAAACCCGCCTGAAAGCTATGGGCAAAGCCAGCAGAATCAAAATGCTGCATTAAACATTAAGTTCTGTGCTAAGATTCAAAGTGTCAATTACATAAGGCCAGGAGGGTGAAGTCCCACCTGACAAGGTTTGTGAAAAATCTGGGGCAGCTCCCCTCAGGTTCCTTGGGGGCCACTGCATGCTGTAGCCACTCTGCTCTGGTCTTGTGATCCCTGCTGAGCATGGCAGTGCCACCGTGCTATATGACTAGCTCCACTGATGCGGCAGCATTAGGGACGCCAGGGTCAGGGCACTTTGTCGTAAAATAAGCCAGCACACTCAAAAGACAAGGTGTAAGCCTGGAGCATGGCCAGCTGCCCTGGAACAGCAGCAGGGCTGTCAAGTGTGAGGAGGAGAAAGATGTTAATCCTGTCATTCTGGGAGTCATTAGGAAGAAAATCCCCTGAGCACCCAGAGATGGATTTGAGCGTTAGTCCTCCCATGTCCAGCAGAAGAGGCCGGGCTCTGACTCCTGCCCTGGGACAGAGGACAGGGCTGCCTTGACAGGGTGCTACCCTGCATTCTGGATCCAGGGCGGGAGTCAGCCCAGGGCCCCCTTACCCACACTACCTGTCTCCAACTCCACAGATGAGGCCAGTGACCCCAGGCGAGAGGCGGCGGTGGGCACAGACCCCAGGGAGTACTGCATGTCGGACCGCGACATCGTGGAGGTGGTACGCACAGAATACGTGTACACGCGGCCCCCGCCTTGGTCTGACACACTGCCAACCATCCACGTGGTGACGCCCACCTACAGCCGGCCAGTGCAGAAAGCCGAGCTCACGCGCATGGCCAACACGCTGCTGCACGTGCCCAACCTGCACTGGCTGGTGGTGGAGGACGCACCGCGCCGCACGCCGCTGACTGCACGCCTGCTGCGCGACACGGGACTCAACTACACGCACCTGCACGTGGAGACGCCCCGCAACTATAAGCTGCGGGGCGACGCCCGCGATCCGCGCATCCCGCGGGGCACCATGCAGCGCAACCTAGCGCTGCGCTGGCTGCGGGAGACCTTCCCACGGAACTCAACGCAACCCGGCGTGGTGTACTTCGCAGACGACGACAACACCTACAGCCTGGAGCTCTTCGAGGAGGTGCGTGCCTGAGGGCCGGACGGCGGGCTCCCGGGAGGGGCAGGAGATGGGACGGGGTCCCTAGGATGGCAGAGAACCCAGGAGAGAGATGCAAAGTCTGCCTGCGGCCGCGCCACCTCCCCAACCAAAGGAAGGACAGTGGACCACCGCGTCCCTCAACCGCAGTCTTGGCCGTTTTGGGGGGGGGGGCATTCAGAGTGGCGACCAGAATCCGCCCCTGCTCCCTGGGACTGGAGGAGGGAGCGGAGACATTTCGTTTTGGGCGGTACTGGGAAGTGCGCCAGGAGGAGAGGGGCAGCCAGGGCGCACGGGTAGCCTCAGGGAGAGGCCATGGGAATCGCCTTCCTGCCAGTAGCAAATCAGCTGTCCTGACTCTGCCTCCTCCTATGTAGATGCGCAGCACCAGGAGGGTGTCCGTGTGGCCTGTCGCTTTTGTTGGTGGCCTTCGGTACGAGGCCCCGCGGGTCAATGGGGCAGGGAAGGTGGTTGGCTGGAAGACAGTGTTCGACCCACATCGACCATTTGCAATCGACATGGCTGGATTTGCGGTCAACCTGCGGCTCATCCTGCAGCGAAGCCAGGCCTACTTCAAGCTGCGCGGCGTGAAGGGCGGCTACCAGGAGAGCAGCCTGCTTCGAGAACTGGTCACCCTCAATGACCTGGAGCCCAAGGCAGCCAACTGCACCAAGGTAGGACCCCTTGCTGAGCCTGCAGTTGCAAGACTGGTGTCCCGGAGCCCACCTGGACCCTCTCCATAGATAGAAGGAAACAGAGCCTTCCTGAAACCCTTACCAAAAGGCCCTCTTCCTCTGTCGCCTGTGAGGTGGCCACACGGACACCAGGCAGGGAATTGGGAGGGCTGGCTTTTGGGGGGGCATGGCCAAGGATTCCTGACCCTCATCAGAACAGTGGTGTTCCACAACCTTGCTGTTGAGTACACGCACACACAACCCATGCACATATACTACCATGACAGGTACACACATGCACACATGCATATACGTGCATCACACGTGCACACATATGTACACACACTTGGGAAATCTTGGGACTTGGACTATAGTCAATAGTTCTAGATTTCTCCTTTGCAATGGATATTCTGGATGTATCATGTATACAAATGGCAAGAATGTGGGGCCAGGTAGAAATAAAAAATAATTGAGAAATCTATGAGATCAGAGCAGGAGGTGGAGCAGGAGAAATACTGAGGTCGTGGGAGAGAGCAGGGAGGTGCTGGCTGAGGGCTGGAACCTGCCCCACTTTGATTCCTTTTCTGGACATAGATCCTGGTCTGGCACACCCGCACAGAGAAGCCAGTGCTGGTGAACGAGGGGAAGAAGGGCTTCACTGACCCCTCGGTGGAGATCTGAGCCTCGGGATGCAGGTAGGAGGTCAGGAAGTTAGGCCAGGTAAGGAGCCGAGCCATGCAGCACTGGGGCTTCTCATTTGTGCATGTGTGTGTGTTTACATGTGTGTGAGAATGTTACCAGGGATTGAACCCAGAGCCTTCCCACTGAGCTGTATCCCTAGTCCTTTATTTTCTTGAGACGGGGTCTCCCTACATCACTGTGTTGCCCAGCTTGGCTCCTCGAACCTTTGATCCTCTTGCCTCAGTCTCCCTCCTCTTGGTCTTTGTGGGAAGACAGAGCTAAGTGTAAGCAAGAGAGAAAGAGATGTGGCTGAAGACCTCTCCCTGCCCAGCCACCTGACAGGTGGAAGGTGCTAGATCTCACCCACAGGGCTGGGTCCTGCCACCAGATGCTGGGGATGGTGTCAGTGACCTCACTTTTTTGTGTCCTGGCCCATGGCAAGGGGCTGCTGCTCAGACATGCTTAGCAGTTCTGTCCTGAGGTTTCCTCTTCCCTCCGGATTCTCCTTTTGTCACATGCCTGTTCCCACCAGTGACCCTGAGGATCCCAGCAGGCAGTGGCTCATGCATCCAGACCTGTTGCCTTTCTCCATCTGACCCAATTTACTCTTGTGCCACAGTTTCTTCATCTCTGCCAGAGACCCTGAAAACCATATGGGGCCCTGCAGGTCCTGTTTGAGTTTTGCTGTGTTTGTCTGATTGTTCAGCTCTCTCTGTTGAGGTAGCCACAGGGTGTGCCCAAAGCTCAGAGGTAAAGAAGCAGCTTCAGGGCAGTGAAATAACCCCCCAGTGCTATGCACTGGCCTGAGTGGTGCTGGGTGAACAGCCAGGCCCCGGCTTCCTGAGGGCTTCTCCATGTCCTCCCCTGGCCTGGGAAAGCACATCCCACTCACTGCTGTCTCATCCAGGTTGCACATGCAAAGGCCCAGGCTCAGTTAGTGGTGGGCAGACATCTGTCCCTGTGCCCCAGGACACCTGCAGCCTCCCTGCCCAGAGACTGGAAGGTTTACTCTGCCTGTTTTCTCCTCTGAACCGAAGTCATCTTGGCCAGTGCCACTTAGGATGATCAGTGTAGACCCTTGTTCCCAGCCCCCTACCCTCACCCAATCATTGGAGCCTTCTCCTCACCTGCCCCAGAAAAGACCAGTACCGAAGAGTGTTTGGGCTTTGTGGACTCCAGGGGCCACATCCAGGACTGTAGACTGAGGGGCTGGCCGTGCCCTCTCTGACCCTACCCAGGCTGAATCTCTGGTTTCTCCTCTGCCCCACAGGAGCCTCCTCCTCCTTCAGACCCTATTCTCAGCCTCCATCCTCCTCCCAAGGCTGCTGGACCTCCATGGCAGACTCGAAGAAGCACCATCACCTCCTTGTTATTCTGGGGGCCTCTCAGACAGCCCAGCTTGATGCCAGGACAAAAGACAGAGAATTTAAGCACAGAAACCCCAGACCTGTTTTCTCCATCCAACACGACCCAGGACCTGAGAGACAGAGGGCTGGGATGCAGCTGCCAGCAGCACTGGCACCCAGCACACTCTCATTAAGCTCCCTGCCCTGACAGGGCCTGGGCAGCCGGTGGGGCTAGGAGGGAGGTGAGGAGACCTGTGGTCCAGCAGACACAGCCCGCACCAGCTCCCGGCTTCGGCGTGACCACACAGGCTGACCAGCCAGGGGGTACCGAAGACTGGAAAGCAGCCCCAGGCATCACATACAACCCACACTGTCCCTGGCACCTCCTCTTCCTGAGCCCTGCTCACAAAGCAGACATACCTCTGGCTCTCCTCCGGTTCATGTTTACAGAGCATCAGGCGGCCCTTGATCCCATTGGCACCCAGCCCTGCATGGCAGGGGGGCCCTGGGCCTGCTGGAAGTCCCCCATACCTCAAGCTGTGACGGGAGTGGAGCCCATTCCTCTGGCCCACTTCCCTCAAGCCTTCTCCTTCAGCATTGGCAAGGAGGTGGCCCAGAGCCAGCACAGGTCACCGCCTGACCTGTACCCAGACCCACAGGACCCCACTGTCCACACACTGCCTCCCACAACCCTGGACTGAGAGGCTGCTTGCCTGGCCGGGATCCAGAAGGGAAGAGGTCCACTTCCTGGAGCTTTGATACCCTCAGATATCAGGGCTGGAATGAGCAGTTGTGGGAAGACAAAAGATCCTCCGGCTGCAGAGCAGAGGAAGGTGAGGCAGCCCCAGGTCCCCCCTGCCCAGCCCTGGTGTGTGTGCAGGTGGGGAATGGCAGAGGGATTTAGGGCAAGGAAACAGATTACTGCTGAACAGACAGGAGACCTGAGTGCACACTGCTTTAGAAATCATTCTATGTTTTAAAAGTAAGAAAGAAAATCTCACTTCTCCCTAAGTTGGGAGCACGCAGAGCCAGCCCTCCTCATACCCAGCTGCCCCCGCCGCCCCAGAGAGACAGTGTACAGTGAGCTGCTGCCCTCCACCGCGGTGCTGCTCAGGACCCAGCCTGAGGCCCAGCAGGCCCTGGTGTGAGCTTAGCGCATGCTCCTGCAAGTTGGAAGCACAATTTTTCTCCCACGTGGAGGAAAAGGAAAGAGAACAGAAGAGGTATTTGTTTTTTTAACGGCTAACAGCCCCTACTCCATTAAAACTCACAGGACAGGTTTGCAGACCACTGAGACCCTCCAGAGTGGATGGGTGTGGGACTCAGTCCAGAGACCAAGTATGCAGAGCATAGCACTGGCTGCGTATCAGGAAGTGGACCTTTTCCACGGTGTTCACCAGACCCTCTGCTGGATCAGATCCAGAACCACCTCACAGGATGTCTTCCCAGCCTCTCCACTTGGAAATAGACCACTGGCATCAAGTGAGGGGGCAGAGGAGAGGGAGGTGGGGCACACCCACCGGTGAGCAAATTTACATCTCAACACTCTGCGCCTCACTCGTGGAAACGGGCCCTGGACACGAAGGTCAGATGGCCTGGTCTGAGGCCATCTTCTCAGCCAAAACCCAGGGCTCATTTTCAGGAAGTTGACAATGAACAAAATGAGGAAAAAAAGTTCTTTTGGCAGATGCTAGTCGGGTTGTTTTTTTCTTAATCCCCTCTCTTAGCTGCATGTATATTTATTTATAATTATAACCCTGGTGGGGTGCAGCCTTCTCTCTGTCGGGAATGAGTTTGTTATAGATCACAACTGGTTCTGTTCTCCAACCCAGGCTACTCCATGCCCCGCACCGGTGAGCCCACCCTGGGCAGCGAGGCCAGGTCAGTGCAGCCAGGGCAGAAGCTGGGGAGCGGAGAGCCCAGGCAGCTGCACCATCTGCTCCATTTTCATTTAACTGTAATTTGTTTTCAAAATTAAAAGTCAGATACAGTTTTTAACAGTCCTCATCCTCAACCCTTTCACTATCACTGACTGACACAGGCACATGACAAGCACTGAGCAGCATCCTGCTATGACAAGGGGGGGCCCTAAAAGCCAGTGCACAGTGGTGGGAAAAACAAAGGACTCAGTCCACAAAGGAACAGTGTTTCACACATGATCTGCTGCAAGGAGTGGCCCTGAGTGGTGGTGGACAGCAGCAGTGGTGAGAGGCCGTGGCTCTCTGTGGAAGGGTCGGGAAGGTCTCCCCGAAACAGTAACTTTGAGCAGAGCAGCAGCATCCTGAAGCGCAGCTCTGAAGGTCACAGCACCCAAGGACAGAGCTCTCGGCAGGCTGTGGGGTGCCGAGCATGGTCAGGGCTCAGCCCAAAGGCTCGTGTTGCCGCCACCAACAAGCATGGGAAGAGGGTCAAGGTGCAGGGCAGGTAGGGTGGGCGCTGTGGTGCCAGGGTGAAGCTTTTGGTTTCTACCCTGGGTGAAACAAGGCATTGCAGAGTTCAGTATAGGGGACCAGCATGATGCAACTGGCCTAGATACATGTGGAGAAGCCAAGGCAAGCAGGAAGGCGGTTCCTGTAGTAGCCCAGATAGAGACCATGGAGGGCCTTCTGAGGGCAAAAGCTGCAAGACAGAAGTGGCTGAATTCCAGGTCTTTAAGACCAGGAGGACCTGCTGAGGGACTAGAATGATACACAGAGCTAAAAACAAGTTGTGGGAACCCAGAAGAGAGCTGCTATTGCTTGATGTGGAAGGGAGTGCAGGAGGGGAGGCATGGGAAGATCAGGACTCTGTCTGATGCTTGCCAGACGTGGAGAAGATGCTGAGGGGACAGCTGCCTGTACCCTGGAGTGAGTACAGGGAAGGAAGGATGTTGGAAGGGACTGGTGTCGAGGCTGTTTACAAAGCCACACGTCTCACAGGTACCGCATGCATTGTGGACAGAGGACAGGAGCCCAGTGTTAAGTTCTAGTTCCCTATCACATTTTCCAGCAGAATTGAGCTTTGCAGAAACCCTGCTCCTGTGTGCTGTATAGTAAGTGACACTGCGACACTGTTCCCTGGCTCAGGTCACGCCTGAGTCACCCTGGGCTCACTTGCATCTTAGCTCAATGCCCTCCACTCCAGGGAGCTCAGAGCTGGTGAGTTTGGACAAAATTAGGAACTGTCTTTCTCTGCAGGCCCTGTCTTTCTCCACTTTAATAAGTTTCTTTTCTCTATACTGGGTGGTCACTTGGGTGCCCCATGAACTGCTGCACACCAGATTACCCCTACTGTGGACTCTGGGTTCAGGATTCCTGCTCTCCCAACACCATGCAGGAGCTGTGCTTAGAAAGTGTGTGCTCTCTGCCTTTGACTGTTACTGAAGATAATTAATTTTAGGCATTACACGCCAGATGTGCCTGGTGAAGAAAACACCACTGCCCACCCCCACACCTAACTGGGCATCCTTGCCTGTTTGGTGCATTTTCATGCCTGTCCATCAGCATGAGAATGGTTTGTATTTGGCCCCTCCTGTTCAGTGATCCTTCCAACCCAGTAACACCACAAGGAGAACCACCGTCCAGAAGGTACTAAGAAGCCATGGGTGTGGACAGGCACCAGCTGGGCATGGTCAGCATCTACGTCTTCAAGCACCAGCAGTGGAATGTGTACCTGACCCTGCCTGCCTTCTCCACCAGCAGAGTAGCACAGACAAGGCAGGACACTAGTCAAGAGGATTGGATTCATCTCCATCACTTTATTGTAAACCAGGACAGTGAACCTGAGACAAACCACTGGACTTGACCTGAGAGAGAGAGCCTCCAATCTGGACGTGGAGACAGACAGCTGCACAGAAAGGCTACCCTTTCTCCTGCTGCCTAGTTATAAAGGACAGCAGATGCACCAGGCTAAGGATAGTACCTAGGCTAGACCTGTGCACCTTGTGGCTACCTGGACATTCTCTGGGGGCCATCTGCCCAATGCCTCTTAGCTGGACCTCTACCTTTCCCACTCTGGACGTTGGCTATGGGGTGGCTTTCTATTAGGGTACATATTTCTCTTCAAAGATACCTCTCATTGAGTATGACTGGAAAGGTTTTCTAATTTAGGAGAGTGCGTGTCTGCTTCTGTTTCTCCTAAGCTTAATTTGTCATCCTATCAGATGCAGAGACTGTAGGAATGAAAAACAGCATCGCTTCTCCAGTGGAGGCTGCTCAGGGAGAGTGCAGAAGAAAAACAGAGTCAACTCAGATGACACCCCCTCCCCTGTCCTCTGCAGACGATGCCCCCACAGCTTCAGGACGCAGAAGGGCTGTGCAGATTCAGCCACACCCCTGGACATTTGGAAGCACACCATGTCCTGCAGACTAAAGAGCAGAGCTTTGGTTCCAGAGTGGGGGTGACATCCCAGCTTCAGCACCTTGTCTAGGGGCCCAGAACTCACCACTGGCATCTAACTAAACATTCCCAGCTCTGAGAGACTTCCCTGAGGCCTCTCCCATGAGGAGGGGACAACGCACCAGCCACTAAGCCAGGCTGAGGAGCCACCTGGGGCAAGAGGTCCCTGTGCCATTCCACCATGCTCTTCAGGGTCCCCAGGAGTAGGGTTTCAGACCAAGGGCAGACTGCAGCCCTCGGTTCCCTGAGGTTGCTTCTTAAGGAGACTCCAGTAGGGAGGTGGAGGCAGCGAGCCCGGGCAGGAAGCGCAGGGCTGCTGCTCAGTGTAGGTACTGGTTCCTCCCCAGGTTGGGGGTGTCGGTGGACTGCACCATAGGACCTGCCATGGTTTCCTCAAAAACAATGACCTGTGGGGGAGAGAGGGGTGTTCTGGAGCATCTGCCCCTCTCCGGTCCTGACTGAAGGCTCCCAGGGAAGCATTTCTTTCCCAGAAGGAGAGGGGTGGAAAGAGATTCGCATAGGAAAGGAGAGGAGGCCTGAAGTGCTCCCACCTGGTTGGCTCCTGAGTTCAGCCAGGCCCCTGGGAGGTAAAGAGTCTCCTGGGGTCCGATGTTCCAGTATCGTCCAAGATTGTGGCCATTGACGAACACAACTCCCTTCTCCCAGCCCTTCAAACAGAGTAGTGAGTGTAAGTCTACTGCAAAGGCCAGGAAGGTAGCATCGCAGTGAAAGGCAAGGCAACACCACCTGTGTCCTTCACTCAGCTTTGGAGATCACAAAGGTGGAAGGTGGCATGTTCTGGCCCCACGCTATAGCTCTAAGCACCACCATCCCCCCCTCCCCCCGCCCCCATGCTGGCTGCCAGAGGAACTGAGCCTCAAGCAGCTCCACCAGGTGCTTCTGCTTTGAGACCCTGTTCCCACTCTACCTCTAGAGGGCCCCAAGGCACTTTCAGATGGGTGCCCCGGCACCACAGAGGCTCCCAGCCAGGCCAAGCACAAGGGCTACAGCTCAGAGCCCACAGAGGCACAGGACGCAGGGCAGGGAAAGGGGCCCACGAACCTCCAGCTTCAGAAACGTGTCAGAAGGGGAAGGGAGAATGGACAGGACACCCAAGAAAAAAGCAGGGAGTGCAGGTGCTTCAGGGACAGGGCTCCATTTGTCAGCACTGAACCTAAGGACAGAACATGGAGGAAAGAGTTGGGGGCACTTCCTTGCCCTGGCTGCAGACACTATTTCCCTTCTGAGACCTCACATACCTACCTCCTGCCCCTTAACCAGGCCACAGGAGTAGCAGCCATGTGGCATGAGAGAGATTCCCTCCCTCGTGGCACAGGGTGCTGGGGTGGTACTGACTTGCCCAGCCAAGTGCCTGGGCCTCGGTCCATCCATGTCCCTGCAGGTGCCTGCAGGGCAGTCTGCATCCCCACTCCCATCACGTGCATCTGCAAGCACACAGCGACTCACGAAGGCACCCACCTCTGAAAGAAGCTCTTTTTCATATCCAGGCTGTAGATTCTGAAGTTTTTCAGGGGAGAGTTATTTAGGTAAAGATCTCCAATCAAACCTGGGGAGAGGAGGTCAGAACTATGAAGAAGTCCAAGGCAGAGATAACTGGCCTGCTGTGACCAGGGCCACCACAGAAGTTCTCAGAAAGCTCAAGTGTGGGCTTCTCCAGGAGCAGGTGCTGCCCTTAGAGCTCCGCCCTCGGGACAAAGCTTCCTATTCCTGCCACTGAGAAGGAAACCAAGACTTCCAAGGCTGCAGGAAGAATGATCTACCCACACACAGGGCTAGAACTGGGATGACCCAAGGCAAGACATCTCTGGTCTCTGTGAGGGAAGCTCCACATGACGAAGAGGTGACAAGGGTCAGGCCTAGCTTCAAGGTCAGGATCAGCGGCTCTCAGACTAACAGACCCAATAACTCAGCTGCAAAGTTTCCATCCAGCCCAGAGCTGAAGAGGCATTTGGAAAGTATTTAAATCCTGAGGACAAGCAGTTTCTCTTGGACCCAATGCTCTGGAACTACATTCGTGAACAGCAGCAGAGCCCATGCCCACAGTGGGCCCCGCTACACGGCCTTGGAGGTTGGCAGGACACAGGGACATGGACATGGCTGCAGTGGAACTCAGGCAGGCAGAGGAATGCAGACAGGCACCATGGGGCTGCAGGTGCTCTTAAGTGACAGGGACAGGTGTGTAGGGGTGTGTGTGTGTGTGCACATTTCTAAAGGGGAGGTCTGTGACTTACAACATGGAACTGTGGTCCAGAAGGCAGGACTCACAAAGGGGTGCAGGACACACTTGATAAGGGCCCCAGAAATGCAAACATGGGTAACAAAACCCAAGTCAGGAGGTAGTTCCAAACCCAGCAGAATGAAGGAAGTGAGGTGGGCTCCCAGAGAGACCTGGGAAGGCACTGAGACCCACAGGAATGCTGGGAACTGTTTCAGGAAAAGAAAGGCTGGCCTGCAGGATGCTGGAACCCTCTCCAAGGTCCTTCTGGGGATGAATCCCAGTGTCTGTGCAGTCTACCAAAGGGTCTCTACTGAAACCGGAAAATGTTTCCTCCACCACAAAAGTAGAGCTTGGAGAGAATGGAAATCAGCAGTCTTTCTCACCGCAGTAGGGTTGCCTTACCTGAGTACTTTATTCATACCTTATTTGAAAGCACCCACATTTAGGTAGACACATAAAAGAAAGGAAAAGCTAAATCAAAGCATGAAAGATCAGAAGGCCAGGCAAAATAAAAAGAATTGGTACAAAATTCCTAGAAGGGACATTTATGTTATACCCTATTTCTTCTTCCTCATGACAGAAAGATAATCTACAGGTTTCCCCAGAGGAGGAAAGGAAATTCAGGGTGGAGACAGAGGTCCTGTGCCCATCTCTGGGTGCCTGACGATCCCTTTCCTTGTTCTTTACACCTAAGCAAGCAGATGGCTCCCTGTGAAAGCAGATTCAAGCTGAGAGACTGGCGGCCGGCGCAGCATTCTGTGCGCTCCACATGAGCACGTACCCGCACCGTCCTGCCCATGCTTACAGGGAAGAGATCAGAATGCAGTGAGGCTTTTCCAGCCCACTCAGCCTCTGCCTCCCTCCAGGCAGCCTCCCACTCTGCTGATGAGCTGCGTGGGAGGGAGCAGCAGCCCACATCTGGGTGGAGCAGTGGTAGCTCTTCCTGGCTCAGGCTGACACCCACCTTTGCGCTGATCATCAATATTATTCCCATAGTTGACTCGCCCTCGGTTCTCCACCAAGATCCTCAACACGGTATAACCCTGCCAGGAACACAGTGGCCAAAGCTAAGCTCCCGATGACCCAGTCATGAGGTCACCAATGCACCTCGATTTGTCTGTGGACCCCAGTTCTTCCCCACACTTTGAGAATTACAGTGAGAGCTGCTGACTTGGAAAACACACCCATCCCTCCATCCACAGTTGACAGTTAAGCAGACACCTGGCTCCTTGGTCTTCCCCTTGAACACCCATCAGACCTCCACAGAGGCATGGGGCTGGCCACACCCGGATCCCTGGGTAACAAACCTGGGTCAAGGGGATGACAATCTCCGTTGTTTTATAGTCCAAGAATCCTATGGACACTGTGTTCACAAACACCTGCCAAAGTGTGCACAGAAGGCATCCATGGTCAGCAGGAGACAGATGAGAGAGGCTTCCTCCAGCCAATGACAGAGGCAGTGCTATACACCTGCCTGCTTAGGAGGGCTCTAACCAGGTGCAGAGGAGAAATGAACTCTGAGGTCAGAGCGGCAAAGGATCACAGAGCCAGGAGAGGGGAGAGCTGATTCCAAGGGCAGAGAGAATAAAGTATACACTGTAGACCTGGTCACTACACAGTTCCTGGGATTCAGAAGCGATAGTCCTACCTGGCCTCGATCACGCACACAACCATGAAGGACGCCCGAAGAGGCAATGGTGGTCTCATACAGAGTATACCCAAAGGCCTGTCCGTTCCCATCATTTACAGGCAAGTTCTCCATGTTGATGGGCTTTTCAGACTTGATGGGCTGTGTGCAGAGGACACAGGGAGGCAGAGAACCAGGCCGAGTTTTAGCTCAGCCCTCTGATGTGAACATGGCTAATTGGCTGGCTCAGGGATTGCACTGAGAGCAAGGAGGCAGGGGGTGCTAACCTCTTTCTTCTATTCTGACTTCTCATCACACTGAGCTCTGGAGCCCCAGAGTCACAGGGACAGGAGGAGGGGGACATCAGGAAAGAATGGAGCCCTGCAGTCTACTGGGTCTTAACTCCTAACCACCATCAACGGTGCACCACTGCTTCCTGGAGTGGGCTCCGTCTAGAAGGTGCCCTCTCCCCGAGCAAAAGGGTCAGCCTTTTCCTTGCCAGCCTCCACCCCCTGCCCTAGACAGATGGCTGTGGGGAATGAAATCGCCAGCTTTCAAGTTCTTCTGTTCCTTCCTACATGGTGCCTCCGCAGCCTGCTGCCTTCAATCTGAGTTCTGAATTGAAGAACAAGCCTCCAGGTATCAAGAGCTGCCTTTGGTCTTCTCAGTACCCTTCCTGGAGAGCTCCTGGGCACTGCCCACCCAGGGACCCACAGGGGATGCTCCTGCTCCCTGACAAATGTGCTTACCTTCTCCATGTACTGGAGGGCATCCCACAGTGACAGGTAGAAAGGCAGTGCCACTGGTTCATAGGCTGTCTTGGGGAGAAGGTCAGGTGGGGGAGGGAGAGAGGCACCTACAACAGACAGATCCCACATCCATCCCTGAGGGGTCTGGAGCCTCCCTCCAGCCTCCTAACCACAAGCCCGGCATCTCCTGGACCATGGCTAGTTCTCAGTGCAGCCTAAGCCCCTCTGGGAGGCAAGGCCTAGGGAAGGATGGGGCCTGTACACACTGCAACAAAGCTGTCTCCCCAGTCCATGGCTGGTGGTGGGGGAGGTGGGGGGAACTCCACTGTTCAGAACAGAACAGAAGCCTAAGTGGTGCATGTGTCAGCTGCCTGCTGGTACCTGAGAGGGAGCCAAAGAAGTCTCGGAGCTTGCCGTACTTGGCTGTGTAATCGCCAGCCTCCGTCAGCACAGCATCATAGTCTGCAAGACACCAGTCCAACTGTCACGCTCACCCCTGTCCCCAGAACTATCTACTGCCACAGGAGCAGGAGACAGAAAAGGCTGGGGTAGGCAGCAGGGTTCTTAGCCTAGTAATCGGGAAGGGTAAACTACCTTTAGTATGAGCCATTCAGGTGCTATAAATACTAATGTATCAAATATTGCAAAACTGCCTACAATCACAGCATGGCCCTAGATTTCTGGCTGTGGGGGGTAAATGAGGCATCTTCTCTACTCTCCAGGGACTCCCAATCCAAAGGGGCTGGAGATCACACCCTCTCAGAGGTCTAGGTAGGAGGCAGGCACTGCTCCCATCACCGTTGTCCTGGGCCTCTCCTCCCTTCCACTGGATCGCAGCACCAGACAGGCTTCCACGGCAGAGTGGCCAGCTCACAGGCACCGCACAGCCTGAGGCTCCTGCTGCTCTCAAAGGTGAAAAGCAACTGCTCTGACACAGCCTCCGCCTTCCCCAGGCACTTTACAGCCAAATACATCAAAGGTGCTAGTAGTCTGTAGAGACTCTCCAGAAAGAGCCCAGGCCAGCAAAGGCAGGGTAGGACAAGGGAGGACCAGTCCCAGGGAATCATACTTGCCATAGCTGGTGACATCAGACTTGTAGTCATTGAAATGCATGGCTCCATTTATGAAGCCAAAATTGGTGCCCCCGTGGAACATATAAAGGTTGATAGAGGAGCCAGCATTGGTGATGGCAGACACTGTATCCAGAACCTCTAGGAGACGGGAGAAGGGTGGACGGGCAGAGTCAGAAGTCTGAGCCAAGCCCAAAGTACCTCAGAGCTCACGGTGCCAGCCCCTCTGCACAGTCACCTTACTGCTGTGTCCTGAAGCTTTATTTCTGACAGTCTACGCACAAAAGAAGAGGGGAGGTGGGCACTAGTCACAGCTGAGCTTGACCCCCATGTTTTAAATCCCTGTTGAGTGCTGGGGATTTAGCTCAGTGGCTTAAGTGCCTGCCTGGCAAGCACAAGGTCATGAGTTCAATCCCGGGCACCAAAAAAAAAAAATCCCTGTTGAGTCTATCAACTACCACATGGGCAGCAAGCAGCAGGGGCCAGCCACACGCTGTGTTCTCAGCAGTCACTCAAGGTGAACAGAGCTCTTCCATCAGCAGAAAGCCCTGATCCCCTGCCTCAGTCCCACCTTTACCTGGCAATGAGCTAATAGGGCAGAAGGACAGCATCATGGGAGAAAAATAAAGGTTAATAGACATATTTTCTTAATATCAATTAAAGAAATGAAACAGGGCAATGAGAAGACTGGCAAATACTAAACATTATTTTAATACTCCATGTGGTGAATCTGCAGAAAAGCATTTAGTCATAGCAAGTGAAAGTTGCTATGATCCTCCTGGAGGGCAGTTTGGTGAGTAAACACGCTGAAACTGCATTGCTGGAGAAATTCTGTGATCACAGGGAACTGGCAAGTCAGGTACATGAGACCAGAGTCTAAGAGTGCTCCCTGAAATGGTGCTGAATCCACCAAAGTCATGGGAAACCCCTGAGAGCCCAGCAGTGAAATATTAGGTTAATAAGCAGTGGTTTACTTGTCACCTCTGCCTGAGCACCCCAGAACCCCAGCACCTCTGCCTGTTGCCCCTGCCAATATAAATCCACACTGAGTAGTATAGAAAGCTTCTCTCTGTGTCCTTAATGGGGTTAAGCAGCTAACCAGGTCAGCAGGGCCTAACCCCTTTGTCTCTGTTTGATGCACAACAGGGCTACAGGTAGAGATGCATTAATAACTGTCTACAATGCATACGTCACTCTTTGAGCTCATTCTTTTATTTCTTGTTCACACCTTTCTGTGTTTTCTGGATGTCTGAGGTACAAAGGCATTACTTTTATAATCATAAAACCATACAAAAGCAATGCTGAAAGTCCTACCTTTGCTTCAAATGTAAAGACAAATAATTCTGAAATATCAAAAGCTGATTATTGCACACAGATGACCCCAGGAAGCTTGCATCCTACAGCTCCACACATCAACTGGCAGAGAACAGGAGGAGCCTTCTTCTGGGATCAACATACACACTGGATGTCGGCAAAGCATGGCACTCACCAGAGGAATCCAAGATATTGTGTGGGCCTCCCCATGAGTCAAACCACCCTGTCCAGTACTCCATCACCATCTTGGGCTGATTTCCCTGGGTACCACAAAACAAGTTAGACAGAAAGGCCACCCAAAAGAGAAAAAAGGATGCGCTTCCTGCAGGGAACCCCAGCACCTCTGCCTCTTGACCCTTCTCTGACCATACAACTCTGCCTGAGAGGCATGGAAGCACAGCGTGGAGGAGAATGCTTGTCCCCTGTGTGTGGCCTCCATACACGAATCTGTAGAATGGAAGAGGCTACCCAGGCTGAGGCTGTAGGTTCTGACGGCTCTTTGTGGTTTTAATGGCACATACACTGGATGCCAGAAGATGACACTGGTAGTAGCTCAGATCTTCACATCTTCCTTAGCAGATCTTCATTAGAATTCGAGACATCTGCTTGGGAAGCCCTTCCCTACACTGAGTTGCTTTCTGGATCAACGCAAGCTTTGTCCATCCTCTTCCAGGGAAGGAAAATGTTCCATCAGCCTGACTCTGTATCTGAGAGCCTCTCCTCAGATGCCTCAGAGTTGCTGCTTTCCCCTACCTAGGAGCCAGGGAGCAACAGAGGGCACTGATTTCAAGGTCTAGCTTAGTTTAAATAGCAGGTTGTAAAACCAGACCCCCAAATCAGGGCCTGCCAGCTCAGTCACTCATACTACAGGTGTGACAGCCACCGTCTGAATTCATATTTCACAAGTCTGAAATATTATTTCAGAATGCTGATCTTGATGCATGATTGCCACAAGCAGGCCAAGGTCATTGTCAGGGCCATGCTTGGCTCTACCATGTTAGTAGAAGGCCTAGAGTGCCTGTGCAAAGTATAAGGACTCATCTGCTACCATTTCAGAATCTGTACCAGAGTCTTCCTCAGTCATTCAGCAATAATCAAATGTCCCCTTTGCCAGGGAGGGCAGCTGCCTACAGAGCAATGAAACCTGATCCAAGGTTTGGGGTACACTTGTGGGCCATTAACCCTAACTCCAGTACCCCTATGAGTTGGAACTCTCCTTATGCTCAGTTAACTAAAGGGAAAAGATGCACAAGTGGTTCAATGACTTGCCCTAGACTAGAGTGAGCAGGTGAGTACACTCTAGAGTGACCAGGTCAGTGCAGGGGTAGCTCACTGCAATCTACACTTCTCTCTGGCAGCATTCTGGTGCAATCTTAGTTATTATCATTTAGTATTTCATTTTTCTCTCTTCCCAAGTAGGTTAAAAATTCTATGATCACATAGATCTTGCGATTTATAACACAGCATATTATGTATAGGTCAGCCACTCAGCAAATGGACTCGAGCTGGACCCACCTGTATCCATTATCTTTCCCAGTAGAAGTCTTCCTGGACACATGGCCCTCATCCCACAAGGCCTTGGTGACTTCATGGGGATTGGCCCAAAGACACAACCCCTGCTTTAAAGGCTACTGGCTAGAGTGTAAATGAGCCCAGCCATCTCTACAGTCAAGATGACACTCTGACTATGCTGCCCTGCTCTGTGGACACAAGGATTCCTCGCACCCTTCAGCAAACCAGGGTTCAAGATGGGCCCTTAATTCTCCGTAATCACATCTGTCTTCTCAGCAGAGATGCTGGGCTGAGCAGAGAGCAATCAGATCAGGACTGAGCTGTCCATGACCATGGATCTAACAATGCTCACATGCCCAGTCACCCTTCTGTGTCTCCTCCTGACCTGCATGGATGGGGCTGCTGTCTTGACAACCATCTTTCTAGGACCAGAGGAGCCTTTCAGGTTAAGATCAGAAGCTTATGTAAGATAGCACAGAGGGAAACTTCTCTTCTTCCTTAACCCTTCAGAGCACATTTGGGGCTTGTGGAGTCCTCAAAAGCCAGATCACACGCACGGCATGTCAGCTCACACAGCAAAACCACAGAGCTGCCTCTATGCTGCTTCCCTGGAAGGTGCTCGGCAACTGGGCTGAATGAGAGGCAGAGCAGCCCAGTCTATCTCCCCCAGGGCACTCAGAATCCCAGCACCTGGCTGGGGCAGGCCCAGCGCTTCCCCTGGGTCAGATTTACCTGGACACTCAAGAGGGAGGTGGTCAGTGACTGTAGCTCCTGTTGTGACTGCAGGTTAATGGTGGCCAGCACTGAAGGGGAAGGAGAAAGAAGAAACAAAACGTGGTCTTAAAGTCAGGAAGACTTTCTGAATCCCCAAGCCCTTCTCAGACCATCAACTAGTCTGAGGGCAGCAGACATATCTTAATGATTTGGAAATTCCATCACTCAGCATGGGGCTGGTATGGCCCTCCCTCAAGAAGCACCCATCTCTGAGGAGATGGCTTTACCCCTGTGCACTGGGATAACTGTGCTTCAGTGGCAGCCAGACCTGAGCTTCACGAACCAAGCACAGAGTAGAGGACACTGACCTAGGAAGCCACTTGCTTTGCTTCTCGATGAGGGGTCATTTCCTACCCTACACTGTAATGAGTTCACTCTGAAGTTTAAATACATGCTCTAGAAAGATCCGCTGTGGCTGGTGGCTGGCCGTGCTTCCCTGGGCTAAGGCAACACTTGGCTCTGAGGGTCTGAGCCTGCTTGCTGCCCACTTCACAGTAACCTCACAGGCACAGGCCTTGGCCTGGGCTCAGTGGGCCCCATCTCTCAGCAGGGTCCTTGTGCTCTTAAACCCCGCCACGGGTGTGCAGGTCATGACAGCAAGAACGATGTAAGAAGGGAATATGGCAGGAGGTCTCTGCTCCTTCCTCACAGTTGGTCCCAAAATATCTGTAGCAAAAACCAAAGGCCTTTTCTACAGAGCTCCCAGGTGGTGCTCAGTCTCCAGGCACCCACACACAGGTGTCCCTCCTTGATCAGCAGCATGGCCCCATCCACCCACAAGGCAGGAGTCCTACCCTCTACGTCCTCCACCCCAGGGCACCCAGCAGGTATTCCTCATAAAGCTGCTCAGTAGGAGCCAAGCAACTGAGAACATCCCTCATCTGGAAGCCTGGGGAGAACAGACAGCAAGGAACAAGGGCCAGCAGAGTGCACATACAAAGAGCAGGAAGGAAGAGAAGCCGCCCAGTAATACAGTGCAGCGTGGCCAAAGGAGGGCAGCGAATGGACAAACACCTCAACGCAATAGACGACACTGTGTCAGTTCCAGCGATGTGCAGAAATGCCATGAAGGTAAAGATGCCTCACAGGAGAAAGTGTCATTGGGAAATGTCAGAATAGTATGGGTAAAAAGAAAATCATAGATCTTTAAGAAAAGAGAAGAGTGAGGATTATAGGACATGCAAAAAGAGTGTTACTGGACTTTAGTAGCACCAATGCATTCTAGGAAATGATGGAATAATGCCTTCAAACCCCCAGGAAGCAAGCGCAGCCCAAAAGACACAGTGACCAGTCAGGATAAAGCTGTGTGCAGGCCTCTAGCAGATCATACACACACACACACACACACACGCACACACACACACACACACACACACACACACGTACATGTGCACACACACGCGAGAGCTCACAGGCACGCATGAGAGGGAGGACTCTCAGCAGCCTGCCAGGCCCCACTGTGGAATCCAATATGCACCAGTGAAGGCTTTGGATAAAGCGATTGTTAAAAGAAGACAAAAGTAGTAGAGGAAGAAAAAGAAAAATTGAAATGAAAGCAAAACCAGAGTAATTATTACATTGGAAGTGAGAACTAAGTACATTGGAAAGCCAGCAGATTTGCAACTGGAGGATTCAAATACTGCAGGGGAAAGAAGCAGAGGGGCTGGGTCCACAGGAAGGTCTCTCCGCATCCGGCATGCACATCCCAACACCCAGCTCCCTGGGAGAGAGGGAGGGAGCAGAGCTGAAAAACTCCATCACCTCCAGAATGAGAAGCCAGAGGCAGAATGTTAGCTCAGTAGAAGGGAAGTGTGGAAGAAAAGGGAAAGTTCAAGATGCTCATTTCTAGGGACCAGGCTGAGGAGGCAGGCAGCACTGTGTTTCTCCATGAGGATTGCACTGTTTTACTTTTAGACCTGTGAATGCATTGCTTTATTGATTTCTTAAATGTAAAAGTATCATTCTAGGCAGCAGCTGGTGGCACCAGGGACTTTAGGTGTGGAGACTGCAAGAGAGGAAAGGGGCATGGAGAGAGCAGCTTCAGGCACCTGTATTGGTCACTCATCGGTGGACTGCAAAGAGCTGAAACTACTCACCAGCAACCAAAGGTCAAGCCCTGCCCAGACCAAACTGCCACAGTTATAGTCTCAGCAATCTTGGGAAAAGAATGGGGAGACAGCACCACCATGTGGAAATCGCAGGAAGCACCACTGGGCATCACCACAACCAGCTTCCAGGACCTGTCTTTTCAGTTCACTCTGTGGGGCATGAGAGTCTTCTACATGCCAGCTACTACTGGGGGTATAAAAGTCCCTGTCTGCAAATGCAAAGCATGTGCTACAGTAGCAGCAAGCACAGTTGCAGGTGACCTTGGCGAACAGCTGCAGTGGCTCTGTGGAGGATGGGCAAAGCCTCCAGGCGAGAGGGGGCCGACAGTGCTCAAGGAATGGCAAGAAAGCCAGGAGGATGAAGAGGGGTGTGCAAGCAGAGGCCCTGGGAGTGAGCTCAGCCAGTCCCAAGGCCGAGTTGGGAGGCCCTCAATGGTTATTCTCAGAGCCTTTGCTTCCCTGGGGAGCACCCAGACCGATGAACCAGGCTGTGCTTTCAAGGACGTGCACCGATGCTACACGGACAAAGAGGTGGAGGCATCGGTGGTGAGAAGGGAGTCCGAAGGCTACCCAACAGTGCAAGACAGAGACCACGTTAGCAAGTCAAGGAGTGAAACACCCAAGCTCCAGATGGGTTCTGAAGATAAAGGCTAGAGATAGAAGGACAGGCCATGGCCTGTGGGCAAGGCAGAAGGGAGAGGAGCTGAAGAACACTAGAGGTATGCACCCTGTGCAACCAAGAGGAAACAGAGCTGCAGCTTGCTGACAAGAGGAGGCCTGCGGGCAAGATGGCACATACAGAGCTCTGTTAGTGCCCTAGTGCCTGGCAGGGATGGGACACTCTCCCAGAGCTGGCCTTGGCTTGTCACCTCCGACACAGATCCTCCATCCCTTCAGCCTACAGCTCCCTGCCCAGTGCCAAGGGAGCATGAGACAGAAAACCCCCTGCCTGTGTCTCAGTGCCACCTGGAGGACGCTGCACAGCAATGCCACCTGCAAGTACCTCCGTGGACCACTCCCTTCTGCAGGCCATCCTTGTTGTCTGAGGTCAGCAGTAGTTCTATGATCCCACGGTCTTCCAAGGCCTACAGGAAATAAAGGACAAGTCACAGTCGGTGTTCATTCTTCCAGACATCTGTGTTGTCGCACTGCTAGGGCCAAGGCATGTGAAACAGTCATTGGAGAGAGCTAATGAAAGCATTTTTGCAGCAAGCCCTCCTTGTCTGTCCCCGCCATATTCAGCAAACGAGCCTGACTTCCAAACGCAGCGAGGCCAGGGCTGCTGGAATCTGCAGCTCTTCCTTGCTTCTGAAGTTCTGGCCAGTTTGCTGTTCCCAGACAGCCTACACAGAGGCTGGCTTTGGAGGCCAGCTGCCATGCTGTCACCTGCCAACTGTCTTCTGGGCTCCACCAAGGCCATGGGGGTTCCAGGGCAGTGCCTATATCTTCCCATTTGCCCATAATACAAGCAGACAGTTTATCTTTCCCCACACTGAGCCCAATGTGGCACTGGTCAACAGCAAGGGCAATGCTGACCCAGCTGTGTCGCAGTGGCATGCCCTATGCACTGCCCATTCCAGTGAAGGGAGAAGCACTCCTCGAGGTCATCAGTCTGAGGACAAAGTGAGCACTGAAAGGCCGTGAGGATTTCTACTACCCAGACAGGTGCTAGCATTTATTAAGGTTCAGTCACTCTGCTAAGCACTCTGCATACTGTCCATTAAGTCTTAACAATAAGTCTATCAACAGCACAGATGAGGAGAGGATGATGGGTCACAGAGATAAGGAGCCCTTGGGCTGACACCAGAATCTGTCCATAGCAAAAGGCTCAGCTCCGAGGCTGCAGACACACTGAGATCATAAGCCCCTGCAAAAGTGATTGTCCCCTAATTTTCCCTGAAGATCTATAACAGGAATACTTATTTCAACTGAATTATTTTGAACTAAAGGAGGCAGAGCTACCATTCAGGGTGAGAGTAACACTTCTGTCAACATTCTATTAAGAAAAGGGCAAAGGCAGTATCATTCTTAGGACTCACAGAGCAGAAGAGTGTTTACCATGAGGCCAGCTGAGATCTTTATCAAAAGCCCTGGACTGACCCCCTCAGCTATCCAATCAGTCATTCCCTGACATGTAACATCTGCTTTGCTTCCTATAACATATGCATGCATTTACAGCTCACGGGCATTTATTCACTGACTCATCCTACAAGGGATAATTATTCCATTTTGTTCATGCTAAACCAAGGCTCACTAAGGAGCTCAGGGGATCTGCCCAAGGTCATGCACTGCTGGTGGTGTCCACATCCAAGCAACACCTGCAGGAGGGCCACATGGCATTCAGAAGCATCCTCCTTGGAGCACTAGGATAACAGCACCAATGACTGTACCCCCCTGCACAGAAAGTGAGGTCCTCAAGGAGCCCCTCTCCTCTCCCACTCATTGCACAACTTTCCTCTGCAGATGAGCCATCACACACAGTGGCTACAGAGCCCCAGAGGGAGTCAGGGAAGGCGTGGCTGGTCTGCAGCCTGACTCTGGAATGGGATCACTTTCAGTAATTCAAAGACAAGGAGGAAGCTGGGTCTATGCTCTCTTCCAGGCTGTGTCCGGGCCTGACTTCAGGACTGAACTAGCATAGGGAATGGACACAATGTGTGCCCTTCCCAGAAGCCTTCTGCAGTGAGAGGTGAGGGGACAGTGAGGGTTTAGGAGAGTCTACAGTCTATAGTGATGGACGTGATTTCCAGATGGAAAATGAATCTGTGGAAGAAAACAAAAGAGATGCTGCCTATGCAATCAGGGTATAAGCTAAAGCCACGCAGTCTCCAGACGCTAACCCTCCAAGGACACCAGCAGAGTTGCTGACTGACAACTTACTGCAAACCTAGAAGTGCGTTCAGTTACCGGACCTCACACAGTACAATCTGGAAGGGCAGATGTTATTTCTAATCCTATTTTATATAAGAGAAAAAGAAGACTTAGCAAAAAGAAAGCATTTGTTAAAGGTCTTGGCTACCAAGTGAAGGAAACCAGACCTGAGTATTAGCTTGTTCTGCTAAGTGTCACTGCAGTCCTGTCCTTCCCTGACCTGCTGTGCACTGAAGCTACCACCCTCACCCTGGCTCACACACTGGGGGCCACCTCAGACTCCTACAATCATACAGCACAGTCTGTGGCCAGGGCAGGATTTTTTTTTAACTCCCCAGTTAAAGGGACTCATGGCTTTGGCCCAGCGCTGGAATCATGGCAGAGGCCAGGATAACTTCTCTACACACGACCACTCAGCCTCCGAGTCACCATGTATACACAGCTGACCCTACCGAAACCCTGCTGAACTGGATCAATGAAGGAAATTGCCATTAATAAATGGGGCCAAGAGATACAGCCATTAATATGAGAAAAATATTAGAGCCACATATCATCACCCTTCACGTAATACATACAAAAACACCAGCCACACTGACTCACCTTCTTGATATAAGGCATGTAGGCGGGGTCTCTGTTGTAGGAACCGTATTCATTCTCCACCTGCACAGCTATTATAGGACCCCCATGCTTGTACTAGAGAAGAGAGATGAACATTCAGAAGCTAAGTTCACGGACCATGTTATCCAAACCCATCATACCTATTACCAATTACTTGCAATATACCCCTTGAAAACAAGTCTCCAAAGGATTGGTGTGTAATTAAGAGTGTTGCCAGTAAGAAGTGGAACAGGAAGCACCATGCTCTGTTCTCCAGTGGAAGCATCAGATAAACAACTATAAAGTGATATATAACATCATATGACCTCAGGAAACCTGTCAAAGATCTAAGCAAACACACAACGACACAACCAAGCAGCAGCCACATGCAAGAGTGGGACTTCCACCATGCCTTCAGTCGTCCTGGCCATGCTCCTTGGTGTATCACGATAGGGCTGGAAGCAGCTGCCCAGGTTGCCACATCCCACTCCTGGGATGGAAGGCATTTACCCAGGTAGGCCGCCTGCCTGAGTCACTCGGTAGCCATCTGTGATCAGACCCGCAGTCCCAGTTTCATTCTATTTCGCATGTCCCCAAAGTATAAAACTGTTTTATCACAGTATATGTTTAAAATGTTCTAGCTTCTGATTGCTTACTGCTATTAGACTCTTACCATGACTTAACTATGTTTGGAACTTACTGTCAGTTGTGTATAGGAAAAAATCTGATGTATGTAGAATTTGATCCTACTGTGGTTTTGGCATTCTCTGGGGGTCTTGAGATATATCCTTCCCCGAAATGAGGGGGAATGCCACCAAATGATACACTTATACACTAATGGTGGTACATTTTGTGTTACGTGTATTTTCACAGTAAAAATAAAATAATTATACTCAGAAAAAAAGCTCTCAAGCCAAACTGTTCTCAGAATGACCTTCCCTGCTGCGCTCACCACCGCACCTCCAGGACAACCTCCAGCTCCACCCTGGGAATCAGCGCAGCAGCGCCATCCTCCCTGCGCTAGGAACTTCCAAACACCTAGCTTCTGTCACTAAGAGGGCTGCCACACTTAGTAAATAAAATGACAGGACACCCGGTTACATCTGAATGTACAATGACTTTTTATAAACAAGCTTTTTAAAAATGCAAATATGGCTTATGTAATATCTGGAGTATATTTATACTTTAAAAATTACTCATGGTTTATCTGAAATACAAACTTAACTAGATAACTTTTGTTTTATCTAGCAGTTCTCTTTGATTTATGTGTTCTGTGAACATCCCAAACTATTAACTCAGAAGCATTTATTATTGTACTAATTTTTTATTGATGTATTAATTTCTCTTCATGTGTCACTCTTCATGGTTTTACATAAGCAATTGGCTTAATTATTCCCACTCCTGTTTTGTATTGCTTCCAATTATCACATAAAATATTAAGATATTAAGATACTTTCCCCCAAAGAATCATTTTAACATATTTGTTTTGAATAGTAAATGGGTACCATGCAGTACCTTTCTGGTGGCAGACTGAAGTACACTGAAAAGTCATCGGCTGAAATTCTGTGAGTACGAAAAGTCTGACTAACAGACCAGCGTCCAGCTCACACAAACCTGAGCCATGGAACCAATGGGACGATGACAGATGGGTGTTCTCAGTTCTCAGTCACCTCCTCTACTCATCAGTCACAGCAATGGCACCACATGGAGAAATGTGAGTCCTCACAGCTGTCTGTCCTTTTAGCAGGAGCTGTGTCAGGAAGATCTCCAGATCCTGGGGTCCAAGAACTCACCTAGGACGCCTGCTACCCGAACAGTGTGTGTGCTCCTACCTGGAGTGGCACCACGCGGGACATCAGGTGATCGAAGTAAAGGTCCACAGCCTCAGTGAAGCCCTGGTAAGTTGTTCTCAGCTTCATGCCAGGGTCTTGGAGCAGCCAGCTTGGAAACACAAGGGAAGCAAAGGGAAGGGGTGCTGGGGTCAGAACCTGGGCTTCGCCTCAGCATGCTGATGGTGCAGGGAGAAGGAAGCAACTTCAGAGGGCTCAGGAGAAAGTCTGAACAGCAAGTGAGGAGACACATCCACCCTACCACCTCCACCTGCCAGCAGCTAAGAGACAATGCACAGGGACTCAGGGCTCTCCTGTCAGTGCTTTTATGGTTTTACAGTATCCTTGTAAAAGGGTAAATCCAGGAGGGCTAGGTGTCACTGGGCCTGGAGGACACAGGCGCCCCCTTCTGGGTCAGTCAGGAAAATGAGCCTGATCTCAAAGAGAGATCAACTCCATTGCAGGAGGCACACAGCCCTGCAGAGCTCAGCCCTCAGCAGGAAAGTGCCCCTACACACTGCTCAATCCATTTGCAGGAAGCACAAACTCTGTAGGAGCAGCACCAAGGCCTCCTCCTAAGCTGGGGTCGGAGCACTTTCTTCTCGGGAATCCTGAGAAATCATGCTCTTTAACACACAGCTCTGAGGCTTCTCCTGCCCCAGCAGAGTTGGAAAAGCACTGATCAGTGCTAGCAATGAAGAGGTGGGATCTCCAAGCCTTACCCCACTTTCCCTGGCCCCCAAACAGGCATGGTTCCTCACTCACACAGACTGCTCAAAGACCCACTCGTGAAAAGGCAGGTGTCACACATGGCAGAGATCTGAGGTCAGAGCTCCTTCCCCTGCTAAACCCCACTGTCCTCCAAGCACAGCTTTGATTGAGCCCAAGGAAATTGCTGACCACGGCACCTAGATCTCTAATCTGCAGAGAGTGAAGGCAAAGCTCTGGCTGGCTTTGCAGCCTTCCCAGGGCACGGTGCCAACTCAGAGAAGTGATCCTGGGTAATGCAGAGATGGAGGCAGAGGCAGAGCCCCCAGGGAAGGGTGGGTTACATTGGAAACAAGAGGGAAAACAAGCCAGGTGCAGTGCTCAGCTGTGGGGAGAATGATCCCTAAGGGCTCAGCTTTCTCCCCACTATGTCTGAGTACTGGGTGAAGCTGGGAAAACTTACACCTACTAACAGCAATATCTTCCCACTGGAAAATAATGACCATACAGATAAGCATGTGGAATGAATACAGTCCCAAATGATTCCTGCCCAGATCTCTCCTGCAGCTGCAGCACACTGATCTTAACAGAGAGTGCGTACAGATGGGCAGACGAGACATCATGAGACCTCACGATTAGACAACAGTGGCTTCTGCTATTCTTCATCAAAATTCTGGGGCTTGAAAAGAATGATTGGTAGTATCTCTAAGAAATAGACAACAGCATGTCTGATTTCTCCCATTTCGAAGTTAGGGAAAGGAAGGTCTGGAGCAGATAAATGACCTGCCTGGGCCCCAAGTCCACAGTTGGCCCAGAAGCATGAAATGCCTCAAAGCGGCCAACCTCCCTGTGCTCCTGTTCACCACATACAGTGACCCATCAAGATTTTACAAGGCCAGCAACTATAGCGCTGCTCAGGACTCCCTGTGGGCACCACTTAGTCTGAAAAGGAAATTAAGCACAGAAATGGAAACTGTACCTTAAAATGCAAACTAAATCAACATCTGTGAGGACTTTCACTAGAATCTAGATATGGCCAGTAGCGTGGAAGCCCTCATGGCTGGGCTCACCTGGGCAGGCCCCCAAGGTCGATCTCAGCGCAGATATAGGGCCCTGGCCGCAGAATCACCCAGAGACCGATCTCAGCAGCCAGCAGGACAAAGGCCCTGGGAGGGAAACAAAGTCAGCTATCTGGTGATGGTCCACAGGACGGCTGCTTGCAAAGGGCGCCTGTACACCTGACAGGATCAGCTGCCTACTCCTTGCCCCGGTTCTCTTACAACCAGGGACACTGGCTGTGAAGGAGGGTCCATTTTGCCTCAGCAGTCCAGGGAGTCCTCATACCCTGATTTGTGCAGACTTCCAGCATCAGGCCCATCCACACAGCCCCCCTGATAGAGCCCTGACAGGGTACAGGGCATCCTAGTAGAGAATAACAGCAGCCTTCCTAGCCCAGCGGGCAGCCTGTGCCCTGACCCAGGTGACTGCACCCCCTGCAGAGGGGAGTGACACTTGGTCTTGGGCTGCAGAGGAAAGGGGGGACCCAAGGCTGCAGGCCTAGCCCCAGGCAATGAATGCCTGCTGAGGGGGTGCATCTGAACCGGGGGCACAAAGTCTCTCACAGCATCCTGAGAACAAAGCTTCAACCCCCAGTGTCCCCGGTCATCAAAGCAGAGACGAGATCCCAAGGGTTCTGAATCCACCCTGAGCAGCCGCCTCTCTGCCCCTCTCCCTGGGCTGGGTCGAAGAGCAGCAACGCCACATACTCCAGGTCCAGGTTCCCAGAGAAGTCAAATTTGCCTCTTTCTGGCTCATGGAGGTTCCAAGGGACATAGCTGTAATAAAAAGATAATCAGAAGCAGGAGCTTGTCATTCATTCCTCTTCGCTTTTCAGATCACCTTTTCTTTTAAACTCTGAAGCACAGTGTGATGGCTGCCAATGCACTTCTTAAAGCTTAAGACTGGAGCCAAAGAACAAAACGAAGAGATCTGGGGATCACTGAGAATCTGGTGCAAACCAAAGAGGTGCTCCCCTAAGAGACAGGGGGATTAGTTGGATTTGGTAAAGCCCTACCATGGCATAAAAAATCAGACCTGATGACCCCAGATAGGGTTGCCACTTCATCCCTCCTCAGAGAAAGAAAGAACGCAACAACAGAAGTAGGACAGGAAAACCTCAGTTTCAACACTGTTTTTATCAAAGCATCCAGATTTCTAAAACTTGAGGAAAAATGGAACTCCAAAGAGAAGATAGGGCCCCATAATAAGCTGCTAAAAGACACCAACCCAAGAGGCAGAGAGCAGAAGTCAAGGGCCACAGTGAGAGGATCTGGTGTGCATTCCTTGGAGCCCATCGCTGATCTCTAGCTGAGCCCTCCCCACCACAAGGCAAATTCACAGGCAAAGGGAGGGGCGCTTTTCTGGCTGCCAGTTCAAACTGAAGGCTCCACACTGACACCAATGAATATCCTCTGTTAAGGCAGAATGCAAGCCCTGCGGTGTGGCCATGACTTTGTAGTCCTCCAGGACTCTACCCACATTCTTTCAACAATGCTAAGCCTGCTTAGACCTGCCTTACAACTCACCTTCACAGCCAGCTCATGAACCACCCCGGAAAGTCTACCTCCTGGCTTTGGAATTACACATTTTTTTTCTGAAAACAGTTTAATCTAATCTAATAACCCATTTTATCTGTGGAACATAGCCAAATATCTACTGGCAATTTTGATTTTAAAAAACTAAGATTATAAATAAGTAGGCTTGCTTTTCACATTCACCACTTCACTCTGTGCCACCATGCTGAGCTGATGGGCACACCACACGCTGGACAGAGCCTCAGCACAAGCGACCATCCCACACGAGGGACGCAGGAGACAGCCAACACACAGCTGCCCAGTCGGCACCCCTGAAGAGGGCTACACTCATCTGCTATAGAAACTAGGCAGAGGAGTACGTCTGTTAGTTACAGGAAGAAGCAGCAGCATGTGCACCCACAAAAGAAGAGTCATGGAATAACAGGAAAAGCAGAAAAGCCCCAGGAAGAACAAAATATGTTGACACCGTCAGCTTGGGCTTCCAGCCTCCCTCCAGGAGGGGGACAAAATAAATTGCTGTTGTTTAAACTGCAATAAGAAATAATTAATTAATTATACTTTCTGAATCACTTGCCACATCCACAATTACCTCCCTCACTGCATTCTTTTGCAAACATTGCTATTTTGGTTGCTCTAGGGCAGTGATGGCGAAACTTTTAAAGCTTTCAATGGTAACAAACAGCCTGCTGTGGCACTTATGCCATAGGTTTGCCACCACTGGTCTAGATCTTAATCAATTTTAGGCCTTTTCATGCCCTTCAAAAAGGATGAGGAGGAAGGGAAACTCTTACCCTACAGACCTAAGCAGAGGACTTAGGCTGGATCCTCCTCTTATCTTTTTCCTCCTGCAGACACCTGGAGCCCCTATTTGGTAACCAGGCTTCGAGGCAGGGCAGGGGCATGGCACTCACGTGGTGAGGGTATTCAAGCCACAGGCTTTCAGCTTGAGCAAGCGATCCCTCCAATATTCCCTGGGCACACGGAAATAGTGTATGGAGCCTCCGAAGATCCAGAAGATAGTGTCCTCCAGCATAAAGTTCTGGCCTTTGGCTTGCAGCCCTAACTGCCGATGTTGAAGCCAGTGTGGGATCAGGGTGCTCCAGTTCAACCTGGAAAGATAAATGGCCCTCTTGGAGCTTGGGAGCTCCCTGCAGCAGTGAGCAGGATGCAGGGAGATGGGTATCCTCGCCTCCTTCGTGGGACCTTGGCCTTCCTCTCTGGAGAGGGCCAGCTCCCAAGGTGGCCAGCAAAGCTTCCCCTCTGACTCAGCCAAACCTTGGAAGGAGTCTTTCTTCAGCATCACTCACAGAGCTGGACCAGGCTGCAGGGGAAGGGCAAGCTGACGCAGTCAGGAACAAGACAAACATAACGCCCAACATGAAGACACACGTGCTAAAAAAGAGGACGAGGCAGGGTTACACTACACAGGAAGGGGCTTCTCTCTATGGCGGGGACTCGGGAGTAGCTGTAACTCGCAGGCTCCTACCATGGCCAGCTGCTCTGAACATTAAAGCAGCAACTACTAGAACAGTACCTCCGAGCGCCCTCCTGGGCACAATTGTCCGGGTTGAGATGCAGATACCTGGAAAGATCATCTAAGTTAAACAGCGTCAATTCATTAACAAAATTTCCACTTCTGAAGCTCAAGCATCAGGAATAAGCAAGTTGTGGCATCTCCGTGGCCGGCCTGGGGAGCCACTCTGTGTGGATAACTGGGACCTAACTAATCACTTTTTTCTTTCTCTAAAGACAAAAGTTCTATGTTCCAAGTGACCTGCAAGTGACAGTTTAGGACTCAGTTCTTCCAAAATACCCTCTATGAGGAGTGAAGGCAAACACGATATCTGAAAGAGGAATATCTGGGCATGAATCTCTGAGTAGAGCAGTCAGAGTTAACGACCCCAGCCCCACAGAATGGCCTTCCTGCTTCTGTAAAACAGGAAGAAAGGCTGGCGAGGGAGTCAGATAGAAACAAGGTACTCTGCCACGTGCGGTCAAGGAGTTTATTGCTCTCTGAAACAAATTTAGATGAGCATGCTTCTGCATACTAAAGAAGAGCCTTAGAGCTTTTCTGTCCTAATATGGAGTGACCCCAATCTCTCCATTTTCCCTGTTTTAGCACACAATATTTTATGACATAGACTTTGTACCAGGCTATTTTTTATAACTTCTAATCTTACAATAAGAGATTCTATACAAATAGATCCTATTTTCCTATGAAACCCAGCCCCTTGCCAGAGTTCAACCAAACTCTGCCTGCCTTGTTCTCTGTGTACCCTGCCAGCTAAGAATGGTTTCCACTTTTGTAAGTGGCTGAAAATAATCAGAATAATAATACTGAGGGACCTATAAGAACAACATGAACTTCACATTTCAGTGTTCATGAATTGTTTTCTTGGCCCACAGCCACATGCCACATCCACCATCCACAGGTGGCTGCTGGGGCAACAAGGCAGTATGCAACAGAGACAGACTGTACAGATGAAGATCTTCACTCTCCAGCCATTTTTAGGAAACCTCGCCAACTCTTGTCTTGGCAGATGAAGCCCCAGATGACTCAAACAAGGCCTCAGGGCCCCCATTTGTCCTGTCTGGGCCTAACCACTCATGTTTCCTCTTTGGCTGGCAAGCTCCTGACCGGGTTTGCCTTTGTCTTGAGATTTCCCGTACCTCTGTAGTTTTTACTATACCTGTTCCAAAGAACACACTCTGCTTTCCTGCCCAGTCCCAACTGTCTGAAGGACCCTACACCACGCCACTCCTGCTGGGCCTGTTCTAGGTAGTGCAAATAGGAACTGGTCGGACAGACTATTTTCTTAAAAATGGGCATTTTGGCAGTCTGATAGTAAAACTCACATGCATGCAATCTTTCTATCTTTAAAGCAATGATAATACAATTTGGTGATCACTCCACCTGGTAACAAGCTTTATCCTTTGGTCAGAACTCGCAAAGCACCGTCACCAGTTCTGAATTGAAGTGTACATCACTCATTACGTCTTCAGCTTAGAGGTGTGAGCACCTCCCTCTCCCACAAGGCTGGTGCAGACAGGTGGCTGAGAGCTCTGTGACCCTGCTGGGGACAAACCCCACTAATCTGAGCTCCTAACTGATGATCAGCATAAGCCAAGTCTTCCAGACCCAGTCAGCAGGCTGCAGAGTATCCATATCCACAGCTTTTTAGGAAAGCAGAAAGTCAGCTTAATCTGAAACCTGCTATATCAAAATCTGCACTTTAATCAGATCCCAAGGTTATAGCTTCAGAAGCACCTCTGTGCCTTCTCCTGTGATCTGTGTGTATGTTGTGTCTTTGGGCAAAGTGCCTCTTTACTGGTAACTACAATCATACTTTCTAGACTTAAAGAAAATTCCTTCTCACTGCTTACCAAAATGCAGGAAATAAACAACACAAACAACAAAAAAAAGTTATATGTTAGTAAATTTCAAATTCTGGAGCATTCAATTGTCCCCTTCCTGGAAATTTGCTGGTAGGTTATTAGGTAAAGCCAGCAATAACTAAATAAAAGGAAAGAAATCAGTAAGAAAACAAACATGATAAGCACTGGGTTTCTCCAGGGCATTCACTGTGAAGAAGAGGATGCTAGTTAGAGCTTCACATATCAAACGACAAAGCACTATGCAAATGGTTATTAAATGCTAATCATGATCATTAATACTAATGATCATCATTAAGAATAACCCCATAATTTCCTGGCAATCAACTCAGTGGTAATAAGGAAATATCAATGGGATGGTTACAACTGGCTGGTTTAAAAGTCAGAAGCACTCTGCTTGTAGGCCAGGTTTGTGCCACAAGGTTCTAACCAAGGCCCAAGGAAGCCTGGGCGCTTCAGCAGCTTCATTCAGTGAGCAGTTTAGGCACAATGACACCTTCTTGTGTGAAGCCAGGGGCATATGCTCTCCTTGGAGCAAAAGCTTAGATATTTTCTTCTGGAATACCTGCTGTTTCATCTTGGATTCATTTCAGGGAAGAGACTTCTTACTCCCGGAAAACACTGGACAGCAAGGTCTTGGCTGCCACCCTGCACTACCCCCAACACCCTGCAGCCTCCAGGTACTCTACCAGGTCATGCTCCATCCCTCCAGCGAGAAAAGGGCTCGCCTCCAAAGCCAGGTCAGACATGAAAACTGAGTTCTACCTGCCTAGGGCTTCAGTCTAGCATCCAAAGGCTAAGCCAAGAGTAATACTGTGAAGCAGAGAGTTAAAGGCACAGCCTGGGCCAGAGTGAACTGTTGCTTCCTTAACCTTCAAGAATGCAAAGATCAGGGCTGGAATCTGCTGGAACTGAAATACCCTGAACCCTAGATTGGGGAGCAAGACTGGTGAGGAAATTAGACTTCATGAGAGTCAGTAGCTAAATCAGAATCTCAAGAATACTAAGTAGAAATCTGCATTCTAGATTCACTCGCGTGAAGAAATTTGTGTGTGTGAGGTCTTTGGAGTAGTTTACCAAACCTCATCAGTCATCAACCTCTTCACAGCAACACGGATCAGTGCTCTGGTGTTCTGTAGTGCTGTATTTTCACTATGGGAAAATATTCTATTGTTAGCCTTATAAGTAGAAAAATTATTATACCCCAGCCTATATAGAAGTGGAAAACTATTATTAACTCAAACAGGCTCCACTCTCAATAACAAACTTCTTTCTTGGAGATGTTCTGAAAGTCCAAGTGGAATGACTTCATAAAACAGGAAAAAAGAGGAGGCAGCATATTTTTTTAAAAAATCTATTGAGCTGGGCATGGTGGCACATAACTGTAATCCCAGAATTCTTTGGGGCTGAGACACAGAAATCACAAATTTGAGCCTAGCCTGGACAACTTTTGGCAAGATCATCTCAAAGGAAGAATTGTTAAAGGGCCAGAGATATAATTCCATGTAAAGGATCAGACTCAATTCCAGGTATCAGGGTTTGGGGGGGCCTCTTCCCAGTGGACTTACCTACAAACACATAAATAAGAGACAAGCTAGTTCACAGAAGAGCCAAGGAATCCATATGGCTTTCCACATACAAACTAACAGAATTTCCTTCCTTAGACTACAGAGTTGAGCTCAAAATCTTCCTTACACTAGTCCAACAAAATAGGGGCATGCAGTGTTAGAAAGGTCTATCCAGATTTAAAGTGAATATATGTTATGGTCAGCAATTCTATCCACAGAAACAGGTCCTGTAAACATTCCTCCCAACTTTGTTTACTTCACAGCTGAAAGATTGCAAGCAAGCAATTCTCAGCAGTAGAGGTCTGTTTCTACAAATTAGGTATCTTACGGGCAAATGGGCCAGGAGGTATAGCTATCAAGAATCACCTTTTGGGGAAGGGGTCCCCAGAGTCCAGGAGTAGGAGTTTCTTCCCACTAGGACCTTGAGAAATGCCCTGCCCTATCACTCCCAGAGAAATCCTGCTGAGGGAGGACTCTTTTTCAGGATGGTCTTCAATATTCAGGGCAGTTGTTTTAAGCAAATATTAGAAGCACATGGAAAGAAAGCACAAAGGGTCCATACCAAGAGAGCCTCACTTTGACTTTGTCTGCAGATGGTGGGGAGGCGGGTGGAAGACAGCACCCTGGGTTCCGCAGCACCTTTCAGAACTGTTCTGATAACTTCCTTGCCAACTCCAGCATCTCCTTAATTCTTCTACAGAGCAAAACAGGAGATGACACAATGGAGCTCTGAGTCACCTCAGCAATGACCCAGTGTTTTTATTTCGTTTGCTCCTTCCTCACCCTAAGGCAAGAACAACATCTTAGCCAACTTGCTGCCGTTTCTGTTGCCAAAGCTCTTGACTCCCAATATCCTCAGTAACCAAGACCTTTAAATCACAAATATATCACTAAAGTCAGTGTTCAAGACAACCTTGGTCTCCCTAAAGGCACGGCTGACCTGCACTCTGTGAATCCCAGGGCTAACTCTGTCTCCCCACACATGGTAATTCAGACATCTAACTGCTCCCCACTGGGAGCTTCTGTCCGGTAACTCTGTTTCCCCATCACCTATTGAAAGAGATGCTTCCAGATGCTGAAAACGCCACTACCCGAAGATGAAAGGACCAGAATTTAAAGAGTTGGAACTTTACAGGGACTGACTCAAGCCTCAAGCAGAGTATGGACTTGGAGGAGGCAAAGCTCATAAATCAAAGCCCCGCGGAAGCTTAGGAAGAAGACACAATTTATCTGAATAGCATTGGAAGACAGCCTATGACCCGGATCAAAGAAAACAACCTGCAGGGCTAACCTCTCCACCCTTACCACAGAGAAGGGTCCAACGGGTTCTTCTCTCTTCTATGAGGAAAGCTCTAGACAATGGTAGTGCAGAAACAGTGAGTGTGACAGAGCTCAGAGAAGAAATGAACCCATCTTTTAGGAGCAGGATGCTGGCTGCCTACTGGAGGCTTTTCTATCTTTCTGCTCTTGTCAGCTAAAGTGTCAGGTATGTAAGACACAGAGTTGACTAAATTTTTGCTCAGTGATTCATTTATATTAAAGAAAACAAGCATAATGGAAGCCATTTCTTAACAAGCAGGCACTCTCGTGCTCATGAACTAAAAAGAGGAAAGAAAACAGGTACTGGACACATGCATCTCAAAGTAATAGGCCAAGTGAAGGAAACCAAACAATAACGACAACATAACAAAAGGAGTACACACTTGAGGTTACACTTCTGTAAAACTAGAAAATGCAAACCAGCAACTGATTCCTGGGTGCCGGAGGGGGAGAAGCAGGGGTTGATGGGGGCAAGAGTGGCCAGGGGATAAAAAAGAGCTGAGGGAACTAATGGATATTTTCTCTATCTTAATTGTGGTGGTAGGTTCTCAGTTTATCAAACTTTATATTTTAAGTATCAAAACTTAGCAAACTATATATGTTAACTATGTACAATGACATGACAACTATATTTCAATAAAGGTGGTGGTCTTCAATAAGGAAGACCACTGTTCAAGCTTAAAAACCTAAGGTTGAAGTGAATCCTCCCTAAAAGTCTACCTGACCCTATTATTTCTTGGATATGATACCATCAAATTGTTAAGCCCGATCACCAGCCAACCCAAGGAAACAACTGTGGGAAAAAGAGATGTGACAGCCAAACCCCTGTCTCCCCAGCTCCCTCCAAGTACCTTCTTCAGGAGTCCGGGAGAAGCACAGATCCACCGGCAGGACTCTACAGAACTGTGAGCTTCTGGCCCACACCAACACTCCCCAGTGACAATGGGGAGTGGCCTCCACCTGGGTCAGTTCATGACAGGTAAGGTGAGGCAGGAAGAAGAAACACATTATGATTTCCTCCAGGCCCTAGGACTGTGAGAGTAACTCACAATTGTTGGTAAGTCAGACAGAAGGAGCTGTGCAGACACCACTGGAGCAGAGATATGATCAAACAGGTGCACATTCTAAGGAATCCCAAACTCAGTCTAGCGTGCACCTCCAGCTGTCTCATTTGCTGAGAGACCACAGGCGGCAGCAACAACAGCCTTGTTAGCGTGGCAAACTTATTTCCCAGGCCTGAGTCAGAGCTGTGTGCCCTCTGCTGCCATCCCCGAACCAAATACCAGGAACCAGCCTGACTGCTAAGGTGGCCATTTACCTAGGTGGGGACATGCTTAAGTCATTGCAGCTGGTCAGGCTTCCTCATAGCTGTCAGGTGCCAGACAGCTTATCACAGTCCTGTCCACAGCACCAAGCCTCCGCCCACACCTTTTCCTGGGGCTACTCAGGTGTGTCCACTGACCTTCCGAGGCCATTGACTGTAGCCCTCACAGCAGCTGTCTGGGAGGCCTGAGATAGCAGCTACTCCAGATACAACAGCACAGGACAGGCTCCCTGGAGCACCCTGGAGCCCCAACTCCCTGACACCCTGCTGCTGCCTCTGCCGTGAGACTCTGTGGAGTTGCATCAGCCTTGTTCCTCCTTTGGGAGGCCCAGCAACCTCCAAGAGCACAGTCCAGTCTCCAGGAGGAACAGGTGGGTTTCAGACAGGAAATCCTCAAAAAATGGAGACGAAATTCCTCCTAAGTTTTCTGGACCCCAGGGTGAGAAAAGAATCATTTCTTCTCCCAAACAATGTTTATATGTCATCCTTGCCTCAGAAGCAAACAGGGATATAAATCCTGAAAAGATGTTAAGTTGAAAAAGTTTCTAAATGTGCTCTTATGGCAGCAAAAATCTGTATTTCCATCAAAAACATCCCTGTCTCTCAGGGAAGTTTGGAGAAATGAAGAAAGAAAAGTTGCTGATGGATGAGGTCCTGTCAACAGCTCTAGTGGCCCAGCCTTCATCTCTTCAATAATGTTCACCCCCAAATGCTCCTTGTCTGTTGGTCCGCTTCCCAGTCACCCGGGAGGTTTTGAATATGGAAAGTGCCAGGCATCGACCTAAGAGATGGCCAGGGCAGCAAGCTCCTATAAATAGACACGTTTTAGAAAAACTCTGGAGCACAGCACCTGGAAAACCTGGACTTGCCCAGAAGGTGGGTGGGTAGGCCGTCCTGTCCCTGAACCCCACCACTTGTCAGAAACAGAATTTGTGAGTGGGAGAAAGGAGTGAGCTAGTGACCACTGAGGGAAGCAGAGAGACGACGTCGTTTATCAGTACCAAAGCGATGCAAATAAGCCAACGGCACAATACAGCTAAATCGACTGTCACTGGGCGCTGGGGCGCTGCCCTCCCAAGAACAGAGCCCCACCTTGGGAGGAAAAGTGGGGGCATCAGAGAAGCACGGAAGGGGGCGTGACGGGGGCTGGGCGTGGGAACCTCCCCGGGGCCTTCTCTTAGCGCTGGGAGCGTCTCCCGCACCGAGCCCCGCCTCACTAGGGCCGAGGAGCTGCAGGCTGGGGACTCTGGGCAGCAGAGCATCGGCAGGCACCGCGGGCCCTGGGGGTCCGAGCGCTCTGAGCAGGAGCGCCAGAGGGCGCGCGGTCCGCAGGTGCAGGGGCGCCGTCGCTCACCTGCGGAGCACCAGGAAGCTCAGGAGCACCAGCAGCAGCACTCCGAGGGTGCGGCCCGGCCGCCGCCGGAGGCTCCCGATGCTCATCCCGCTCGGCCACGCTCCGGTGCCGGACCCACACTCCGGCGGCACCGGGCGCCCGAGCCTGGGCGGGGGCGGGACCGCGCGCGGGTCGCCTAGGCAACCAGTTGCAGCCGGCCGGCCCACCGGCGCCCATTGGCTGCAGCCCGTGACCCGTTCCCCGCCTCTGGCGGAGGATAAACAGGGTCCCGGTGGAGACGGCTGGGGGAGGGACGGGCAGGGGATGGAGTGGGGGCGGGGCGGGTGCAGGCTTGGGGTTGAGGCTGGGGGTGCAGTTGGGGGGCTGGCGCAAGAGGCGGGGAGAGGAGGGGAGGGGGCGGAGGAGAGGGTGGGAGGGCCGGCGCGGCTCTGGAAGCTTCACAGGCGTCTGCTCGGGCTCTCCGCTGCTGCTCTTCCGCAGCCCTCGCCCGCCCACCCGAGGTGCAGAGCCCGGGACCCCGGGGCGGGGTGAGGGGGTCCGGCACCCGAAACGCAGCGCCTGCGGAGCTGTTACCCAGGCTTAGCCTGCCCGCTGCACGAAGGATAAAGTCTCTTCCCTAGGCGCCGCTTTAGGAAGCAAGTATTGAAGACGCTGCAGAAGAGAGGCGAACAACAGAATCTTTTACCACAATCCAAAGTTTGAAGGAAACATAATGAAGTTATAGATCATCCTGTGAACAGCCGCAGCCGCGTGGGGCGGGAGGAGGCGCGGCAGCGCTTGGGGTCCGTGGTTCTGATTCTGGCCCAGACTTGCAGCGCTTCCAATTTCTCATTGTAAGAGCCGGGATAAAACTCCCACATTTTAGGAAATGTTGGGATTCTATAATATTTGGGTGAAGTGTATGTTTTGTAGCTGCCACAAACCAACTTTTCCCGGGAACATGTTCAGATTTAACTGAAAGAAATTCAGGGAAGTAACTGATTTTTTTGAGGAACAAGGTTTGAAGAACATCTCCGTTGCACTTCAAAGCCAGGTTCTGTGTGTGCGTAACTTGGACCCCTCACAGGAGCAAAGAGCAATTTCAGTTCTCAGAACAAAGACAGGCAGTTTGGTGCCGGAGTCCATATCCCTGCAAGAAGCAAATACTCAAGTGGCAAAAGTTAAACAGAAGAGATTCAACAACAAACAAGAGGAGAAAGAAACCATACAGTTCTGACAGGCCCGGAGAAATCTCCGAAGACCTAGAGAACAGAGGTCTGAAATAAACTCCAAAATCCACACTCCACGACTAAGGCTGTGACTGCCAGGCCGTTGTTAGGACTCTGACAGAAACATGCTGGTTTCACTGGGATGAAACCTCACTATAAGATACTGGCAGGAAACATCAAAGTTACCCTTTTTAACCTGCAAAAAAAATCTTCGCCAAAATGCCCACTTCACATCCACTCCCTCAGTCTGAGCTATTTCAGAACCTATGAAATATGGATACTCTCAAATTGTTTAAATAATACAAGCAATTCCATTTTTTCAAATACTTGTAAAATATTGTTAGCCTGAGTTATTAAACAATAAAACCCTAAAGTGGGGGCGAGGAGCGTTGCACAAGGTCTTGGCTTTGACCCGGCACTGGGTGGAGCCAGGGGATCTCACTCCTCAGCTCACTCCTCTAAATTATTGCTCCCAGACACTTACAGAGCACAGTCTCCTCCCCTTTGAGGATCCTGACAGTCTGCACCATCAGCAGAAACAGAAGTGCACACAGAACTAGGCTGGAGAGTGCAAGCTACAGGCATCTGGGCCTTTGCATATTCAGTGGGTGATAGGTTACAGACCAGTTAGCTCTTCACATGACTTGTTAAGGATACTGTGCTAGTCCGTTAAATACAATCTATTTGAAATGTAGAGAACATCTGACAAGATGTCTCTAAAACTAGTCTGGCTTGTATCTAGATGTCCCCACAGAGCCTCACCAGATCATAGGTGGGTTTTTAGAGATGGCTGTGTCTAGGGTGTGTGATGCTGTGTATAAGGGTGCCCCACCCTGGGTGTGACTGCTGCCCACCCTAAAGATATGTAGCCTGGATGGGATACAAGCGACAGAAAGGGGACTGCTGCCATCGCTTGCTGTTGCTGCTGCTTCTGTCTCTCCTGCTCTGCAATGTCCCTCTGCCATGCAACCCTGCGTGGAGCCTGCTGATTATGGACTGAAACCTCTACAAACTGTGAGCCAAATAAACCTTTCTGTCTTTAACTTAGGTGTTGAGTGTTTTGTCTCAGCAACAGAAAAAAAGAACTAAGATGAAGTCTGAGATGAAAAAGATGATTTCTATTCTGTCATAGGCACTTGGGTTGCGCTGTGGCATTCTCTGGAAGACAAACCTCAGGCCAGTCCGCAGAAGTGGACACCCCAGCGCCAGCTGCAGTGCATAGGGCAGTGAAATCCAGTCAAGAAATTAAGAGCATGAGGGAATTTCTGTGAAAAAACAAGAGCCACTTCAACGAGGAAAAAGGCACAGAGAAAATCCTAGGATGCATATTTTGTCCTTGGCAAAAGAAAAAGGCAGACAGATCTAAGTTAAGCGAGTCAAGCAAGGCTTTGAAGCCCAAAAGATGTGGCAGTGGGACCAGAAGGGGCCTGTGTACATCGGGTAGGGGCACTACGAACTTCATTTTTGGACTTAGTAGTTTGAAAATAGCACTTTGTAGCCTCCATTTTAATTTCAGCGCTATCTGCTCAGGTAAACAACAAATTTTTAATGATCACCCTCTTGCTTTGAAACTCATTCTAGCTGGGAAGAAATTAACACAATGAGTAAGTAAACCATAGAGTATATGCAAAGGTAATAAACTCCATAGCAAAAATAAGCTGAAAAGAGGAAGAGGACTGGGCGTGCTGTGGGAGGGGGACAAGGAGAGCAGGTCTGCTGAGGAGAGGTTAACTGAACAAGCGCCAGGAGTTGCTAGTCAGGTGTGCTGTTGCCTGGGAGAAAGCTGCGCAAGCAGAAAGAACAGACAGTGCAAAGCCACTCAGCCAGAAAGAACTCTGTACTCCAGGAAAGGCGAGGAGGTCAGTATGGGAGGTCATGGGACGAAGGTGAAGGCAGAAGGGCAGCAGATGATGTCAGAGAAGTCAAGAAACTTTAAGGGCCAAGTTTGACTCTGAATTACTCCCCTGTCTCTTCACTGTGGCCCGGGAGGGAATAAGAAAATGAGGAAGGGGCCACGGTCCCACTGTCGCCTCAGAGGTGATTGCCCTGGTGGTTTAAATACCTCCTCCTAGACCTCACCACGTACTGTTCCACTACCTCCCTACAACATATCCTGCAGAGCAAAGCTTTCAGAGTGGGGTTCCATGAACCCCAAGAGAGAAAGTTGCCTAGGCAGAAGCAGTGATTGTGCTAACACCGCTGGCACACCTTTGGAAGACACTGAAAATCCAAATTAAAGCCCCATGTGAGATACAACATCTCGGACAATTATAGCAACATAGCAATTGAGCAGTGCTGGATTTCTAGAACTGGAAGCAAAGACAAGAGGATTGTTGTACTTCATGCATTATCTGTGGAGTGAGAGAAAAGGGAACTCAAGAATGACTGACATGCTTAGGAAACTGCAAGGACTAAGGTGTAGAAAGCATGCAAGGGTCGTAGATTTGTAGGAGAACAACTGGAAGTGGGTGTGGGCTTGTTGTGTTAGAGATTTGGATGAGATGTCCAAATAGGGACACCATTCAGGCTGCTGAATTTGCAAAACTGATGTTCAGGAAAGTCTAGGATGGGATATTAATTTAAGACCTGATAGACAGTTGGTAACATAAAGATAATACCTTTAGTGAGATCATCAAAGGGCTAAGTGTGACAGAGAGGACCTGGTTTACCTAATGAGAAAGAAGAAGGACCTGATCAGGCTAGAAGGAAAACAAGAAAGAAACTCAAAGCAGGTGTCCTGGACCCCAAGAGAGAAAAATTACTGATGGAGAAGTAGAGACTGCAGTGATATTGCTAGAGGGCCAGGTTAAAGGAAGACAGAGAACGGACCAGTGGTTGTAGCGTGTGTCAGATACTGGTGAACTGTACACAAGCAGTTTTGCTGAAATTAAGGATGAGGAAGTTAACTGGAATGTGCTTAAAAAGAAGTGGTGGAGAAAAAATCCAAGAGGGTAAAGACAGATAACTCATTCAAAAATCTATGTCAAAAAGAGGAACAACAAACAGTATGATAGGTGGGGGTGGAAGATGGAGCCAGGCCAAGATCAGTGTTCCCTGTCCATCTCTGTTTGTATGGGAGGTACTGCAGACCATATGTAGGCTGGCTGTGGCCTTGGTTCACAGAGAGTGAATATCAGTGCAGTGGGAGCAATCATCGAGAGTCCCATCGAGAGAGGTGCTGCCCTCCGGGAAGTGAGAGAAAGAAAACCTGGAGACTCGTCAAAGTGATGGGCCTTAGGGAAAGCACATGAGATAACTTAGGGCATCACTGCTTTCTGAGCGAAGTCACCTGGTTAATTTCAGATACATAATGTGACACTCCCAGAATTGAGAACTAGGAATACCATTGTAACTTGGTAATTTTCTGACTCTTCATTAAGGTATTCATTTATGATGTGACATGAAGCAAAATATGCATGTTTTATTGCTAAAATTAAAGTAAAATAAAGTGATGATTAGTGATTATTAAAACTATTAATGGACTATCCAAAATAGAAGAACTTTCAACTATTTAAGCACACGGGGAAAGAGATTGATAGTTCCTATGAATATTAGAATATATTAGCTTTACAACTTTAGAAAGAATATGGTATCCTTTATGAACAAACAAATGCATCTAAGATTATAATTCTAAAACTATAAAATGTACATTATAACAATATATAAAGTTATATAGTATATAATTTTCAAATATAAGTACTGACTGAAGTACATTAATAAAGACGTAGTAAAGATGCTACACCTTACATCATTTTCGGATTATTAGAGGCATGCTGCTTGTGGTGGCTTGAACATAGGCAGGGTCCCAGTGTTCACCTGCCAGAGGCTTGCTCCAAGAGTGGTATTAATAGGAGGTGCTGTGGACTTCTCAGAGGTATGGCTGTGGGAGGTCTTGGATCTATGGTGGCATGTACTACTAATTGTCAAAAGAGGATCTTTGTGACAGCTAGGTTTTGGCCCCTCCCAGTTTTCTCTCCACTCCACTTTCAGAGGTAAAAACTTGTTTGATCTCAGCACACACTCCCACCCTGGTATCCACTGCATGAGGCAATGGAGTCCAGGGTGTGTACTACTGCATCAGTGCTCAATTATCTTGGTTTTGAACCTCCAAAACTGAGCTGAGTAACCTTTTTCTTGGTAAAACTAGTTGTCTTGAGTTTTGACTGTAATGATGGAGACTGGCTAATGGACTGTCTTAGTCACGTTCTTCCTCAGAACAAAATATCCCATGCCTACAACTTAAAGGGGGAGAGATTTTATTGTTGTTATTTCCAAGATTTTATTAAGAAAATGTCCAAATATACAAAAAAATTGAAAGATTGGCATACCACTTACCCATTCACCATCTGAGTTCCACAAGGAATATCTGTCACCTTTGCTTTACCATATAGCCACTTATTTCTCTATTATTCTTTCTTTTTAAATGATTTTTTATTAGCACATGATTGCAATACATAATGAATGTGTCCATCACAGAGAGCTGAAATATGTACATATCCCATCTTAATTCTTTTTACTTCATCTTGCCTTCTCCTCCCTTCCCCATCCTTCCATCTCTGGGTTCCTATAGGTTTAGAAGTTTTAGTTCATAGCGGGCAAGCTCAAACGCAGAAATGGTATGATGGAATGGCCTGCTGAGGAGGAAAGCTGCCCATACTGTGGCAGCCAAGAAGCAGAGAGAGGAGCCAGGGCGGGAAAGGCAGGCATACTTTCAGTCATATCCTAATGACCTGCCTTTTCCAACAAAATCCCATTCCCGACAACACAGTGAGCTATATGGATTCATCAATGCATTAATCCCTGACAATTTGGGAGGTCATTTTAGACCCAAATCATAACATCTGTTGGTTGCTCAGGGGCCCAAAGGGTTTTTTGGTGGGTGAGGTCTCTAGGCTAAAGTACACCCATGTTCAAGACATCAGCTACAATAGCAGGCAGCATGGAGCACAGTAGAAAGCCAAGGCCAGAGTGCAAGAGGGCTACCTGCGTCTTTATGGTGTGATTGTCATACAGGTTGTTATCTCACGTCCACATTCTTACATAGTGCGGTAACCAGTGCATGCATGTTCACCTGTGCTGAGTCATGGTTACACAGTTGCATCCCTCTGTGCGCCTGTGTGGGACAAACAGGCATCACATTCTCAGGTGTCCTTTGATGCCCCTGGGCTTTGAGGCAGTCTGAGTGGTTCCCCACATTAAACATATATTTATACAATGAATTGAATTTTACCATTTAATTACATGCAACCATGAGTCTTTGAAGAAAAACAGTTTCTTAGGAATTCTTATCACCTTAAAATTCATGAGGAGAAAAATCTCACCTCTGTGATAAACCATTCTCTGCCAAGACAATAAAGAACAGATAATTTATGAAGACAAAATTGTCAGTGTTATACTTCTTAAAATAAATAATTTGATTACCAAAATTTGTATATATATAAAGGAAGGGAGTTCCTTATGTTCTTAGGACATCAGATTATTTTCTAAATTACTTGAAGCTTCAAAGTAGTACATTCACAGTGTGAATATATCTTGTTATGGGGCAGTGGATTAAATTTAGATAAGTGTGGCTGGTTTTATGTGGTGTCAGTTGAGATTGGTTGTATCATTCCTGGAAGTGTAATAATCTCACTAACACTTATCTGCCAACAGTAAGAGCCTCAAATATATACAGATGGCCATAAAGGAATAAGATGGAAAGAAGACTGTGTCAGGCTTTGCTGTTGCATGTATCTGAACCAAACAACCAAATCATTGTCTCTGGTTGAATAAGACCCAATGCGCTGTCTTGGAGACACATACCTGCTGAGAAATGCCTACAGATACTGCCGTGCCCTGCTCCTACACACACACACACACACACACACACACACACACACACACACACGCAACCAAGCCTTTGTCGATCATATATGCAGTACTATTAACAGCAAGGGAAGAACAGTGTCCTTATCCTTCCATAAGCTGGAGAAGATTCCCTTCCCCCTAAGTGAATAAGCAGAGGCAGAAGTTAAATTTGCTTTTATTTTGTTCATAGTTACCTAAAGGCACATTTGATCAGAGAATAAAAGGCTGCTAAACATTAATGATTAATCATCATTACAGATGTTTAAGGCAATAGTCTAAAAATAGGTATCATGTTGATATACTGTAAAATACATATAAAATCATTTGTTGACTTTTTAAGGCTATTTTCACATTTTTTGTCATTGTAGGAAATATCATGTTGAATATCCTTCACACCAGTTTTCTTCCTGAAAAGCTACTTATACATGAACTCCAACAATGCAAGAAATGTATTAAAACATAGCTTTCCAGCGGGGCTTGTCTGTAGACTCGATGTATGATCCACTCTTTCTCGTTTCAAACAGGATGATCTGGGAGGAATGATGGACACTAAGAAAAGGTAAAGACAACCCTGGGATTGGTAGTCTGAGGACAAAGATAATCTGAAGGCTGATGAGCCCCCAGGGCAGAGGCTGGGTGACTGACCTCATTGTCTCCAGGATGGAGCCAGACACCGGGAAGGTAAAGCGTCAGCTGAGGCCCGATCCTCCAGTATCGCCCGAGGTTGCGTCCATTGATGAACACGAACCCACGATCCCAGTTCTGTAAAGGAACAGGCTGAGCCCTGGGAGTAGATTCCCCCTGGCAAGTGAAGGCACTTAGGGAGTGAGAGCAAAAAGAGATGTTGGATGGCCCTGAGCGAGGATGTGCTTTAAGGAGGCCCTGTCCTGGAATTTCCATACTGGCACCTAGGCGGGAGAGCCGAACATGCAACTGAAAACAACACTTTCCTCAGCACGATTCTATGGCTGTCCCTGTCCTGTGGCGGTTGAACTTCCAAAAATATCAGTACTAAGCAAAAGAAATGACAACTTCTTCAGAAAACAGCTATTAAAGCTACCTTCTTCAACCTGCTTGTGATATAACAAAGACAAAAATCTTGAGGAAACAAAAGGATGCAGAGACCTGCTGGCAGTTTTTCGATGGCAAGCATCTGCTTCCTCAGGGAGAGCTGCTAAGAAGCTGTGCAAATCTCTCACACATGCTCAAGGATAAGGATACAAAATATGGACCCCAGGAAGCCTTACTGATAGCCTCTCTGCACTGTGAGCCCAAAGCACACACGTTGAAAAAACTCCAACATAAAGAGAATTTCAACACAAAAAATGAGAAAAAGCACACATATCATAAAGGGTGTCTCCATTAGATTAACAGGTTATATCAGCAGAAATCATTCAGGAAGAGTGAAGAGAATGATATATTTAAGTCTAGGTAGAAAATATGTATCAAAAATATCAGCTCTACCTGAACTGTCCTAAGCAAGGAAGAGAAATACAGGTTTGTCCAAGACCAGCAAAATCTGAGATAATAAACACAAGTAGACTGCTTTTACAGAGAATGCTTAATGGCTATCTACATCCAAAAGCAAATGTACAATAACTAAACCAGCTAAACTCAGAAAAGCACACAGAAAAGATAAAACTCCTTAGTAGAACAAATATATAAAAAGGACCAAAAGATCAATGTAAAACACTAACAAACCATGAAGAATAAAAAAAGTTCTAATGAAACAAAGAATGTACGGAACAAGCAGAAAAAATGTGACAGATGACAGAAATATGTTTCAGTTATCATTATGACATTGAGTAGAAATGGACAAATCTCCTCAATAAAGTACATAGATAACTGAATAGACTGAAAAACAAAACCCAACATATGCTCCCTAAAAGAAACTCACTTCACAGAAAGGAAAGTACACAAACTAAAAGAGAAAAAGTTGAAATAGATATTCCATGTCAAAAGAAACCAAAAGTTATCAGCAATATTTACATATAATTGGATTAAATACACTAACTGAAAAACTGTAAAAAGAAAAAAAGAAGGCAATTACATAATGATAAAGACATTAACTCAGCAAGAGGCAATACAATTTTAAATATATATGTATTTATAATGCAACTATAAGCATACTATGTGTTTCAAATACAAATATAAATGCCCAATGCCAGAAGGCCTGATGAATAAAGCAAGCATTAGAACTGAGGTGAGAGGTGCACTCTAATACAGTAATACTTGAAGCTGTCAGCACCATCATCATCAATGACTGTATCACTCACACACAAAAATCATTGAACAAAAATCAACTCTACCATAGGACAAATGTGCACAATAGGCATTGATAGACCATTTCACCCAGCCCACACAGAACACATTCTTTTCATCCCACAATGGGCCACTTTAAGCCACAACACAATCTCAGAAAATGTAGAAACTCTGAAATAACACCGTGTATCTTCTCTGACCACAATGAAATGAACTTTAGAAACTGTACAGACACATGATAATAAAGCAACATACACATGACAGGTGACTGATCAATGAAGACAAGCAAAGGGAAGTTTTCTCAATTTTCTTGAAACAAGTGAAGTTGAAAATATATCAAAATCTGGAGGATACAGTAAAGAGACACAAAAAGGGAGCTTTATAGCAATGAGTGCGTATATCAAAAAAGTGAATGATTTCAGTAAAAATCCTGACAAAGCAATTTATTGATCTAGAAAAACAAAAACATCCAAAACACAAATGTCATAGAGGAAATAAATAACAAAGATCAGAACAGAAAAAGAAAAATGGATACTAAAAAGTACAACACAAATAATCAATAAAAATACCATTGGTTTTTTGAAAAGACAAACACAATTTATAAGGCTTCACCAGAGTAACTAAGAAAACAAGACAAAAGACACAAACCAAAAGTATAAATTAAAAAAGAGTTATAACAACAAAAATATGATAATAAATCATTTGGGGTCTGTTATGAACAGCTACGAGCAACAAATTGAAAACCTGAAAGAAACAGATCAGCTTCTAGACAGTGAATCTGCCAGATTTGAATCAGAAGTACATAAAAACCTCAACAAGGCCAAGCCTAGTGGCACCTGTAATCCCAGCAGTCGGGAGGCTGAGGATCTCTGCAAGTTCGAGATTAGTCTGAGCTACAAAGTGAGCTAAAGGCCAGCCTGCACTGCATAGTGAAATCCTGTCTCAAAAAGAAAAGAAACAAAAAACAAAACCAGAACAGACCAGTAAAGATTAATGAGCTTTAATCCGTAATTAAAGTCTCCCAACACAGAAAAATGCAGGACCAGAAGGTGTCACTGGTGAACTTTACCCAAGCTTTAAAGAATGAATACTCCAACACTTCTCAAACGATGCTAAAATCCAAAGCCAAGGAGCACTTTTAAACATGTCAACACACAGCAGAGTAGTCCATCCATCCTCTCACATTTACCAAAAGGCACTTACACAACCCTAAAATGAGTAAACTGACAGGACATCAGTAACTGATTGAATCTCAGAGAGCCGAAGGAAGGGCAGGGAGCACAGCTCCGCGGTGGAGCTACTCCTGAGAAGGAGAGATGCCCGGGGCTCAATTCCCAGCTCCACATTAAACAATGAAACCATGTGCAGACAATGGTCCCGTGCACCTGCATTCAACAGAGGAGCAGCCATCAGGAAGCTGTCCACACTATGGGGACCGCAGGTCAGTACAGGCACTAGAGAAGTCAGAAGGGAGTAGCCTTACCAAAACCAAAAACAATCACCACGTGACCCAGACATACAACTCTGCAATGGACTCCTGAAGGAACAGAAGTCAGCCCCCTATAGGGTCACCTGTTTAGAAACGATCATTGCAGCCCATTTCACATGACATGAACTGTGCCTGGCTTCCCACGAATGAATGAATGAGTTAGTAAAGGAAACACAGCATAAACATCTTTGGAGCACTATTCAGCTAAGAACAAAACTGTGTCATTTGCTAGGAAAATTGCTGAAAATGGAGAGCTTATTATTTATTGAGTAAAATAAGCCAGACTCAAAGTCAAGTTTGCATGTTTTATAGAATAGAAAAGAGACAAAAATAGCGTGAAAGTAGAGAAAGACAATTATTAGACAAGACTAAGGAATACGGGCAGGGGGAGGCTACCAAGGATGTTACTGGAGGATGGATATGTTCCAAATATATTACATGCATGTATGAAAATATGACAGTGAAATCCAGAATTTGGTAAAACTAAGTGACAGATAAACATATATTTACAAAAGAAAAGCTATCATAATCTCCACTGATAACATCAATTGACTCTTTTTCACAATTATATCAAAAGGTGTTCATTTTATAATAATTTCTGATGTCTCCATTTATATCTGTTCATTTATGTTACTTAGTGTGCTCATAGATAAAAAGATGTACAAGGTAAAAAATAATCTGCATGCTCCAAATAAAAACAAGTTGCAAAATATAATTTATTGTAGGGAGCAGCTTCGAATAGCTGCTGCTGCCCTGCCCCTCCCACCTGAGGGCATTTGTGTGTCAGCCTACATTTTCCATGATCCTCCCCTTGCCTGCAATGCACATGACAAGCAAACTTCCTGTTTCAGCCTGCCTACATTACCCATAATCCTCTCCTGCTTACATCATATAACCGGATGTGACGATGACCTATCAGATAAGCCTTCTTCCTGCCTTTTGCCCGTCTCCACCCTATATAAGTTGTAGCCATTTTAAAAATAAACAAGACTTGAATGGAATCCCGCCAAGTCTCGGTCTCTCTTTTCTCTTGCCCTGCCCCCATCCCCGATCCCCTCTCCAGGTGAGACCCATGGATTGATCCGCAGGCCGGATCAATTTATGCTGTTACCACACAGTATAAAAATTGCATGTGCATGCTTAGGAAATTAGATATAAAAACAAACTTTAGAGCTATTAAGGTCTGAAATGGACAGATGAGCCAGAATGCAGGTAGGGTTGAAGACAGACTTCCACTATTTGATATCTCCTCTTACAGTTGTTTGAATCTTTGTACTTGGTCAATTGTCTAAACAACAACAAATTAGGGTGACTAGGAAAGGTAAGAAAACTTGGTTAGAAGTGAGAAAGAAGAGGAAGAAAGATGAGTGTTCCAGAAATATTGTGCCTTTGCTTGTGAACTTCACACACCCAGAGCAGCAGGGCAGACAGAGGCTCACTTACCGGCAGGCTGAGGAAGGTGTCCCTGGGAGAATCCCCAGCTCTCAGGTTGCCCAGGTAGAAGGCAGGCCCCTTATATTTCTTTGGGACAGGTCTCCAGGTGGCAGAGCGGAGTCTGGGAGAAAGGCCAAGACATGAGGGAGTGCACAGCCCTTCCCAGCTCTTGTCCCAGTATTCAGCCTAGCTCTGCCTCCCAGGGACCAGCGTTCTGTGACAGTGAGATTTTTGACATGAAGTATCAAAGCACAAAGCAGGAGATATTCTAACTTCCAGTCCTAATTCACAGGACCCACTAACCCAAGAAAAACCCTTACAGTCCTCTGAATCTTGGACTCTTCCCTTACAGAGTGAAGAGTCTGAAATCACTTGGTTCCCCAGTGCTATGCTTGTTTTACGGCAGGTAAGCTTAGCCCCTAGCATGCTGATGTGGAGGTGTGAAACTGCTATGAGGTGAAAAGTGGTGGGAGATGACTAGATCACAGCGTTAATCACTCTGTTCTTCCAAAACAATAAGTAATCATGGAAGTGGGCTATTATGCTGGGCCACCACATGTGCGTGGCCTCCTGTACACACCTACCATCAGTGCCATTCTCCATGAAGTCCTCAGCAGAGCAGAACAGATGTCAGCTCAGATCCTTCAATTCAAGAACTCAGAGCTAAGTACAACTGTTTTATTCTCAAACCTCCTAGAACCAGGTATTTCATCACAGCATCATAAAATGAACCAAGACTCCTGATCACACAAAGTGTCCACTGGGGATTGAAGGCACACACCTCTCAAAGAAACTCATCTTCATCTCCAGGGAATAGATGGAGTAGGACTTCAGGTAGACATCATTGAGGCAGACAGAGTGCAGCAATCCTGATGATGGGAGACAAGAAGGAGAATAAGAACAAGGATTGGGCATACCCAGGTGCCAGCCGGGAGGAATGGAGACATGCATACACCCCATGATGAGGCTGCAGATCTGCTCTCTTCTACATCTCCACACTGCCAAAAATGTTCTCTACTTTGTGCTAGAACTTTTCCCAAAATTCCCGTAAGGAGACTGGGCCCTTCAGAAGAAACAAGCACAAAATAAACCCATTCTTCTCTCCCTCTCTGAAGACAAGGCAGATCAGCCCAAGGGACAAGAGAGAGGGTGACCTCTTTAGTTCATGGATCCGGGTGTCACACTGCTGAGGAACTCATCGTAGTTCTCACAGGCCCACAATAGCTGCAACTATGGACACCAAGAACCAAAGAAAAAATACTACCAACTTCTCCACCCTCCTACAATTCATATGAAGAATATGCACAAAAGGAATCATGCACTCATGTAGGTGGGCTTTTTGAAGAGGAAGGAGCCATGGAAGTGCTACAGCTGACCTGCAGCCAGGAGGCAGGGTCTGGACAAGAGAAGTAGCTCACTCTGCTCCTGACCAGGACGGGTGTCTCTTCTGCTCTGGTGTCCCTTCTCTTAGTTACTTCCTGATCACCGAACCATAAGCAGCTTTCCTCCATCCATCCTTCCCCAGGTTGTTTCTCATTTGGAAACAGCTGACTATGAACTGCAGCCTCCACAAACTGAGCCAAAAGAAACCTCTCCTCCCTTAAATTGTTGACTATCAGGTATTTGTCTTAGGAACAAGAAAGTTACTAAAACTGGCCCACCAAGGCTCACCTTTCTGCTCATTTTGAATTTTCAATGAATAATTGATTCGTCCTGCATTCTCCACCAGGATCCTAAGAAGTCCACAGCCCTGCTGGGAACATACCAGCTCATGGGGTCTGCATGGCCAACTGAGGCTTCTACTCTGGAACCCATTTTTTCCTCCAAGTTCCAAAAGGAAAGACAAGCAAATGGGTAAAATAGGCTACAGATCCCACCATCACCTTGTGCTTGCTCAACTGTAAGGACATATGTGGTCCCATTCAACACTTAACCTGCCCTTTCTCTTTTGCTGGTCCCCAGCCCTACACACTACCTGTTGCGGCATTATTTGAAGATTTCTCACAGGAAATGGGAGAGAAAGAGGTGGTCTCTTTCAGGATCAGGCTATCTTTGCTTTTCGGAAGGGGAAGTAAGGGGAATCAGCATGACTCTGTAATTATATACCCTTGTCTTAGGAATGTACAGCTTCCATCTACCCGGACTCAGCAATCCTAGCTGTGCCTCATTCAAAAACACCTGCAAAACAAAAGCCAGCATGATACTGATAGGCCCACATGAAAAGGAGACAAAAAAGGTTCTGGTTCAGGAAATAAGAGGGCATTTGAAGGGAGGGACTAGTTTGGGTGTTGACTGAGTAGTCCCTATAAATTTTAAGATGCACTAAGGAAGAAAGCAAGGCTATTGCATTTACTTTCCTATCCCCCAGTGACTTCTGATAGAGGCGCTTTCAATGCCACCACACACGAAAGTAGACCAATTACACAGTAAGGATCAGCACATGGCTCATCGCCAGTGACACCTGCTGTCCCTTACCTGTACTACATCATAAGAATGTGCATGGAGCTGGCCTGCAGAACAGATGACCGTCTCATAGAGGATGAACCCAAAGGACTGACCACTGCCATTGTTCACAGGAAGATTCTCCATGGTGACTGGAGTATAGGACTTGACGGGCTATGAGGGAGATATACCAGCATGAGAACCAGGCTCTTTCTTCCTAAGACTCCTGTCACTGTTTGCTGGACCCTGCACGGAAATCACAGGGCACACACTGCATGATGAAATCTTGTGTTTTGTGGCTCTGATGTCCAGAAAACTCAGGAGTGGTGGAACATAGGGAAGAAGCACAACTGGTATAGCCATAAGAGAATTGGTGAATTGCACTGCAAAATAACTGAAGTTGTGAGATGATTATGCACTGAGCAAACAACTATTGGGCACCCATCATGGTTCAGACACCAAATTTTATCTAAATCAGCAATACAGAAGGGAAAGCAATATGAATTCAAGAGTTTGATTTTAAGTGAGTTTCAGGACACCTTCCATACAGGACAGGTCATCTCATTTTTAAATGGCACCAGAAGCAAGTGAAATGTAGTAATTTGGCCTAGTGGATGGAAGCCCAGTCTCATGGGCTACTAGGTGAGAACTTTTGCTATGTGGTGCCACCTGCTTCAAAGTGTCTCAAAATGGCATTCACCAGAAGAGCCTGTCTGTGCTGGGAATAAGATCTTCTGCCATACTGCTCTTGCCTTCTTCCAAACAGTTATCCTCCACCTTCAAATCTCTTCACAGGCTGTGCAAAAGGAGTTCTAAGACTGGACAACATGCAAAGGGTTCCTTTTCACATAGCCCAGCAGTAAGTGGTTTGAAGGAATCTCTGCTCCACAGCCTGTGACCTTGTCCTACATCTATCCAGTGACCTCCCATGCCAGTGCCCGAGCAGTACACACGTTTCTCAAGTACGGCAGGACATCCCACAGCGACAAGTAGCGTGATGGTTTCACGGATGGATACACAGTCTTGGGAGTAATCTCAGGTAAGTGGGGCAGTGGAACTGCTACAATGAAAATGGGCGTCAAGCAAGTACTGCTCCGCAGAATCGTTCTATTTTTAACTTGTCCCGCCCCTTTGCCTGATCACTTTGCTTGCCAGAACCAATAAAAGGAATGGGTCTTATGCTAGGCCATGGGGTAATTCTCCAGGAATGGTGATGACAGTACGATGTAGTGCGATTAGTCAGCATCCACACATGTCTGTGGACACAGACTCAGAGAGAGAGAGCTCTTAGTGAAGCTCTGCTTCCACCTTTAGGATGCTGATGCTAACCTAGCTTCTAGCCGTGAGCACATGGCTCACTGACTTTACTAATGAGGTCGAATTCAACAGGGTGAGTTTGCTGTTTGGGTGTGGGGTCACACACAGAACTAAGAGCTTTACAAAAGCTCTCTCTCTTCACTGTCACATAGCAAACCTGTACGATATCTTCTCATCACAGTGAAGATGCTAAAGGCTTAGAAACATACAAAACTACCCAGTTTGAAGTGTGAAACCTAGGCTTTACACCTCAATTGCCATTCATTGCTCTCAAAAGCACCATTAAGCTGTTGCTCATAGAATAGAATTCTCCCTTTCCTCACTCATTCTCAGCTCACAGACACCTTGTGAGGACAAACACCCCTGCACCAGTGTGTACCTGAAAAAGATCCAAGGAGTTCTCGAAGCTTGAAATACTTTTCTGTGTAATCTCCAGCCTCTGACAGCACAGCATCATAGTCTGCAATACACCCAGGTCCTGTCACAGACCATGCAGCCCTCCATGGGAGGTCCTGCTTCAGCGTGGGGGCAGGTGTGAGCCAGCACCACCCAGAGTAAGACACCACGGAGATATCCCCTGCCTCAGGAACGCCCTGCGGCCACTGGGCTGTGCCATGCAACGCAATCTCGAATATGTCCAGGAAATGCCCCTGCTGGACACACTGGGCTCACCCTGCCAACTTGATATCAGATGGACACTTGGGGCACTGACTATGCCCAACTGAGCCTGACAGTCAGCCCTGTGTCCCATACCTGCTAGAGGTTCAAGTCATGGGCACAGTGGACAATACAAATGAGGAGCAGCCCTTAGTATCAGGCAGCCACAACTCCTGAGATGATGACCTGCTGGGGCATCGTGAGGACGGAAGGAAGTGAATATAAAACCTTCAGGGCTCAGTGTGCATGATGGATCTGACATTAGAAGATGGATCTAAAGCCACCCACCCTGTGGAGGGGACCACACCAGGCAAAACTTGCCATAGCTTGTCGTAACACTCCTGCGCCCCTCCACAATGCCAGCTGCATTGATAAATCCAAAGTTGGTTCCACCATGGAACATGTAGACATTGAAGGAGATCCCATTTTTGATAAATGTGGACACAGTATGTGCCACCTCTGCAGAGAGGGAAGTGGAGAAAACAGAGAGAAGAAATTATAAAGGAACCAAAATCTCAGTAAAATTTTATCATTTCCAACCCATCGCAAATCAATTGCTTTGCCTTCTGAATGCCATTAAAATTCTAATCAGAAATTGAGTGGAACTGACATGATGTTTTCCAGGACAGCATGTCCTGCCCAAATCCAGAGCCTATTATTAGAGAAAAATTTCCCCAAATGCTGACATAATTTGAAGTTAAATTGCATCTATTAAAAATAATCAAATAATTCTTATCTTACATACATACCTAATTTTCATTCCAACTTTGGAAACTACAAATTGTTAGTGTGGCCACATTCCTACCTTTCAGGATAGTGACTCTAGGGACCCTAGATTATAACCTGGCCAGAAGCCCTCAGCAGCAGTTCTCAGACTTAACCAAAGAAACTCACTTGCTACTATAGTTTCACAGGCATGACTATCTTTGCCATGGGAAGCAAGAAAAGCAAAATTCAGTTTGATGTGAGATTCCATTTTGTCTGTGCTCCTTACTATTTGTAAAAAGACATGGAAAACCTATTTTATCTCCCATTTTCTGCCTCCTTTTATTTAAACAAGAGATATCAAGTCCTTCTACAGCATGGGGTTGATGAGAAAAATTAATTGTTTGCTTAAAATATCTAAGAATTGTGGCATACTGATCCACAAATCAAAACCCTGCTGTTTGTTGATATATTTTGGGGGGTTTGTTTGTTTGTTTGTTTGTTTACTATTTTTGGTTGTCCTTAATAATCACATATTATCAGTGGTTCTCTTTATTTTATGAACAATGAGCCTGTATTTGTAATGACTATATCAAATATCTGAGGAGCGACATGCTTTTATAAGCAAAAAGCAGGCACATTTGGATTGGCAGTGTTTGGGTCACAAGGCTTAGACGCAGGCTTCCCAACAACCCTCACTCTTGGACGAAGACCTTGAGCAGTGAGGAAGCTGCTCTAGTGAGTGGCTCCCCTGTTTGCTATGATGGGAACCCAGTCTCTGCCCGTACAGTCCAACTCCTAGCCCTTACAGTTCCAGACCCCTCATGCCGACCATGCTCCATTAACAGTGCCACAGAAAGGGCCTGTGCATTTCCCACAAGGGGAGAAGACTGTGCAAATGCTCCCCTTCTTCAGTCTCTTTGCATTGCTGCCTCTCCCCCAGCCTTTGTGATCGCCTTCCCTTGTCTGAGCAGCTCTATCTCCTGTCTTATTTCCAACAGTGCACATGTTTGTTTGCTCCTGGCTTGTATTAAATGTGGACTATACATGGGCTGCTTTACTTCCTAAAGGTCTGATGAATCCACTGAATTATAAGTTCACCACAGGCAATTTTTATTCACGTCATTTTTATTCATCAAAGCTTCTCCAGAACCTGGCCAGGATGTGTACATGACAGCACTTGGATGAACACTAATGGGTGGACCAGCAAGCTAATTAGCAGAGACTGATGCTGATGGTCCATGACTCAAGGAACTCTAAACTTGAAGTCAAAGACTGCAAAATACTTACCAGCCGCACTTTTGTTAGCATGAGGAAGTCCCCAAGAGTCATACCAGCCAACCCAGTATTCCATAATTAGAATGGGCTTATGGCTCTAGAAAAAATACAGTACATTTGTACCTGAGAGAAATAAAATTAAGAACATTTGACAACAAATAATTTGAAAGTCTTGTATTTCCCAACTATTTCCAAATTCAGATCTTTTCCTTTTTGGTCCCAATTTCCTAATCCTTCCCCTCATTACACGTTCACTATCATCCATAAATTTGAATGAAATTGTGTTTCTGTTCATTTGTTCTCTATTTCTAATTGTTGTTATTCTATTTTGGTTATGAAACAATTTAGTATGCAAGAATTCATAAATGTTTGCACATCTTTATGGATTCTACTTTTCAACTCTATGAAATAATTATTACATTAAAATTATATAAGTAATTATGTTAAATTGTATTTAAACAGTTATACTTAATTATCTCATGAAAATAATAATGAACTTTTACTGAGAGCTGGGCACTAACTAAAGATCATTACCAGGTTTATTTTGTGAAAGAAGCCTAGAAGAAAGATACAATCTGTCCCTGTGGTACAAATGAAGAAACTGATGTCCGTAACTACCCCAGGATCACTCAGCTAGGGAGTGCTAAAGCTGACACTCAGACTGACAAAAAATGACAAATGCTGATCAGGATTAAGACAAACAGGAAATCTAGTATACTGGTAGTGGAAATATAATCTAGTGTTGCCTTTGTGGAAACCAGAAGCGTGGAAGTTTTTCCAAACACCATAAAAAACCCATATATGCTCAGCAATGTCCACAACTGGGTATGCATCCAAAGGAAAGGAAATCAACATATCAGAGAAATAAGGACTTCCATGCTTACTGCAGCACAGTTCATAACAGCTGAAACCCAGGATGGACGGAGAGACTCACCACAAGTTCAAGGAACCTGGTATGAGAATCCTCAGTTACATTCTTCAGACATAGAAAAGAATAAAGTACTGTCATCATCAATAACAGAAACTGGAAGACATTCGGTCAAATAAAATACACCTGGCACTGACAGTAACTCTATGTTTTCATTCACACAAGGAAGATAAAAAGATGATACTGCACAGGAACAAAAAAGAATAGTGGTCACTAGAGGGTAGGAATATAGAGAACACAGGACAGATACCAATGTTATGTTAGACAGAAGTGAGTTCTAGTGTTCACAGCAGAGAAAGGTGACCACATTGTCAAGAAAAATTTACTGTATATTTTTTAAAGAGCTAGAAAAGAACACTTTGCTACAAACACAAATCGGAATGTTGAAAGGAATAGAAACAGTAAGTTCTCTGATTTAGTCAATATATTAACACATTTAAACTCTTTAAAATTTTAAAGCAAGCTCTCTGAAAAGATTAATAGATCTGATAGATCTTACCATATTGACCAAAATTACAAGAAGCACAATATTATCAGTATCAGGAATGAAAACGAGACCATCACAATTGGCAGCTAAGACTTTAAATGAGTAACAAGGAACTATGACAAATAACTCCACACGTGACATTTACCATGCAGATAAAATAGAGCAAAAAGAATAGAATGTATTCCCTGGCAAACAGAAATTACCAAAACCTGTGAAGAAATTAATACCATGAATTGTCCTATGTCTATTAAGTTTGTAGTTTAAAATATTCTAAAAAGAAAAGATCAGGTCTAGATGATTTTATTGATAGAATTTACCAAACATTAATTTTAAAATGCTACCAATGATATAAAAACTCTTCCAGAAGAAATAATAAAGCATTATTCTAATTTGAAAATAAACAAAGACATTTCAAGAAAAGAAAACCAAAGACCAACATCCTTCAGAAAAATGAAAGGAAAAATTCTCAGCAACATCTGAGTAAACAGAATCCAACAATATACAAGACAGTCATCACCATCAAGTGAAATTCATTTCAGAACTTCAAGACTGAGTCAACATTCAAAAACCATATTAACATAAAAAACAAGTACAGATGAGGGAAGCTTTGTGTTTGTATGACCTCAAAACTTAAGCCATGTAACTGTACAAAAACACAGCATTTATTCATGCTAAAGCATGGATGAACCTTGAAAACATTATACTCTTTGAAAACAGCTGCCACAAAATAATAGTTGTTGTATAATTCCATTTACAGGCAAACCTTGGAGATGGTATGGGATTAGTTACAAACTGTTGTAGTAAAGTGAGGATCATAATAAACTTAGTCATACAATTTATTACCCATATTTACACTAAAAGTGCCATAAAAATTGTCTAAAGAAGCAATGTATACAACTTAATTAAAATTCTCCATTATATAGACAGAACTGTAGCACATCATGTCAAATGAAGCAAGCCAGACGTGAAAGGCAAATATCACATATTCTCATTTATTTATGGAAACTCCAAAGCTGCTCTTATAAGAATGGAGGGGAATAAACAGTCACCAAAGACTGAAAAAAGACAGGGCAAAGAAGACAAGTTAATAAGAGACACAAAACGCAGTGGAGGAATCAGTTCTGGTCTCATTTAGCATATAACTATTATGCACAACAATCTGACATATTGCAAGATAAGTAGAACAGTATGAAATGCCCAGTGTGGCTTCCCCACACTGTCCACCGCAGAAAGCAAGTATACTCCCAGAAGTTTGGAGCCCTCCCAAGGACCAGGGTGTAGACACAGGGTCTTCAGTTGGTCTTGTGTTTATCAGACACCATTGTGTAGACTAAGGAAGTCATGGACGGAGAACAGAAAAAACTACATGGCTAGGACATCCTACCTGAACTTGAAGAAGCTGGTAAAAAGAATTCTTCCCAAGTGAACCTAGATTGACAGTGGCCAGTACTGCAGAGAGAAAAAGATCACTGTGTACAGTGACAAGGGTCATCAGGGAAGAGAAAAAGGCCCAGCCCAAACATGGAGGAGGTGTCCTGAGGACTGAGGATTGTCAAGTGCTGCCTGCAGCCCACTTGCAATGCACAGAGGGTCCCCATGACCATCACCACATCCCTGACCACTTGCGAGGACCCTCATTCTTACTGAGTCAGGCAAAGAAACTTAACTACCTTTGTACAGAGTTGGGAACTCCCTACATGATCAGAACCAGGAACGGAGTTCAGGGCCCCAGGCCAGGATCATCACTTCCAGATTACACAGTGATGTGGGAAGAGCAACTAAAATGGAGAGGCTCTCTGTCCAAAGCAGCCACTGGTCTGGGCTAAAGGTCACCAGGCAGGCGCTCCCTGGACCAGCCCAGCTGTGCATACCTGGTTGCTATCACTCTGTGATTCTGTGCCTAAATATCCAGCTACTGCGTTCTCTAAGATCTAAGTGGGTACAATGACTTCTCCTTACACAGCCATCTTCTGCACCATGTTTATAAGTAGGACAGGACCCTATGCCATGGCCACACCCAAAATAGACTCCTAGACACAGAAGTTGTGACTCATGGAAAGATGGTCTGTGGGAGAGGGGACCAGCTCTGCTCTGTGTAAAGACGATGGCAACAAGGAAAACCATGGTGATGACAACTGAACTCGGGCTTTGATGGTGCACCTCACTCTTGTGGTGTCACATCTCTAGGGTTATCTCAAGGGACCTAGGAAAGAGAGCCAGAGGCAAGCACTGGGCCAGTGCTCATGGCTGAGACTCCCAGAACCATGAGTCAGTATGAGCCTTTACTTGGCTCTCTCTAAGGCTTGTTCATGGCTTACACTGGCTAAGAGCCTCCCTTCTGCCCTGAAACAACTCTAAATTTGTACCTCCTTTGAGTGAGCCATTCACAACGTCTTTATAATAATCACAGGTGAAGAGCAGTTCTACAATCCCTCTTTTCAGCAGAGCCTGTTGAGGAAATTACACAAATGCACCCACTTTCCTTGCCCCCATGAGAAGCAGTTGACAGGGAATTAAGACATAGAGTTGCATTCAGAGAGGTAGGCTGTGACCTTGGCTCCTAGGTACCCCCAAAGACCATGCAAAAGACTTGTACCCCAGCATGGTGCTCTTTGGAATGGTGGAATTCTCAGTGTGGGATCAGGCACTTAGGGGGACATTCTGTTACGGAGGCTATGGTCCCTGAATGGCTCTCCAGATCCAGCCTTTTCCTTGTCACTCCAGTCACATGGTGATGAACACTGCTCCACCAGGCTTTTCTACCTGATGCACTTCCTCACCTCAGGACTGGGCCAGTGCTCACGGCTGAGACTCCCAGAACCATGAGTCAGGATGAGCCTTTACTACTGGCCATTGTTACTGGAATGGAGCAGATGGACAGAGAGGAGGGCGACTCAGAGTCTGACACCTCTGCAAGTGAGAAAGCAGGAAGCTGCCACCTGATTCAGCGTATGTCTTGACACCCCAACAGCAGCCCAGGGCATCCTCTGACACCCGAATTCAGAGAAAGAAAACAACACTGGGTGTCACTTCACTTCACAAAGGGAGAGGCTGGGCTAGTGGGATCCAGAGAGTAAGGACAACTTGAGAGTATGTGGGTCCTGCCTGGACACTGTCCCGTAAAGCAAGGATACACGCGTGGCTGTGGGAGAAGACTAACCCAAAAAGTCTATCTAATGTGGACCCAGGGAGCAGATGGGAGGTCAGAGGGCCAAGGTGTCATGCTGTGTGTCTCTTACATTCACTTAACCAAATTTAGGCCTGGGAATGGAGTCCAGTGGTAAATTTATCAAATCAATGAGAAATATTTCCATTTGTATGAGAGTGAGGAGGGCACATCAGCCCCTGCAGCCTGACAGGGCTGGCTCAGGCATACACCCCAGTCCTGGCCCCTCTCCTTGCCCAGCCAGCGACCCCTTTCTCTCTGTGAGTTCCCTCTCTCAAGGTCTCTGTGTCTAAGGAATGACACAAGCAGGGTCATGGCTGCATGGAGTAGGTTAGAACATGGGCCTTGCATATGGAGAGCGAGGCCCTAGGAGCGGCCTGAGCCACCAGCAAGGACACCATCGTTACCACATGAAATCCCTGGCCTGGGACGTCCACACACGAGGAGCCAAGGGGCCAGAAGAAGAGTTTCAAGCTCTAGACTGAAAGCTGCAAACACACAGCATCTTCACCAGGTTTCTGACACATTGTTCACTGCAGATGAAGATTCCCCAGCCCCTAGCCTGCGGGCAGTCACAGATAAGGAAAGCAGAAAGGAACCCTGCTCTAAAATCACACCCTCTCACCATCAGACTACTGAGTGCATCGTGACTGTCCTGAGCACAGTGTGAAATCATAAAGAAACTGAGCCCAACCTCATCCAGGCCCCTGATGGGCAGAGCCTGGCAGCCTTGCCATGCAGCATGGGCCAGACATGCACTAGGGAGAGGGCACAGGGCAGCAGACATGGCAATGTCAGCATGCTTACCTCCTTAAGGTAGGCCATGTATTGTCCATCCCGATTAAATGACCCATACTCATTCTCCACTTGCACAGCTATGACAGGGCCGCCGTGATGGTACTGAGAGACAAGCAGAGATCAGAGAAAGAAGACACAGAACGAGAGGCTGGAGCTATGGCGATTACAGCTGGAGAAGCATAGTGACACGCTTGGACCTCAGCCACTGAGAACCCGGCTCAAGCTACAAGCAGTCAGCTTCCTTCCTCCTAGGGACTTGCCATGACCGGTTCGAAGGTAGTAGCAGAAAGAACCCAAAAAAGACCACAAGCAGAAAGCTTGCTGAGCCCTACCTGGAGAGGAACCATTCTGCGCATCAGGTGATCGAAGTACGCATCAACTGCATCCACAAAAGTCCTTTCCGTGGTTCTCAGTTGGGTTTTGGGGTTCTGCAGGAGCCAGCTGAGGGAAGGAGGTGGCACATCAGAGAGACAGGAAGCAGGAGGAGAGACACATCTGGCTTACTGAGCCCCACACACAGTCTCCGGGCAAAGCTGCTGCTGCATGGCTGCACGTCTTTTCATCCTCTCTTACCCAGGATGCTCCAGCTCTTGGGGTCCTGACGGGACCCACCTATGAGTTCTGTGCACTATACACACAGACTTGTGGTATTAGAAGGAAGCAGGATTCCTCATCCCAAAGCACCGCAGACCTAGAAGAGTTTCCAGCTCTGCGAGGTCCCACGGCCACCCCAGTGTCCTGGAGGGGCCGGGGTCGCTGTCCTCTTCTCCATCTCAGGCACTATGCACATGGGCTAAGCAGAGTGCCTGCACCTCAGGCACAGGTCCTGACTACCTGTAAGACTGGAGACTTCAATCACAGGACAGGAAATGACAGGCCAGTGACACCCACTTGGAGCCCCACAAGGTAGGACCAGGCCTGTGCTCAGACCTCTTTCCTCTGAGCCAGTCCCAGCTCCTGATGAGGAAGAAAGAAGAAAGGGGCCAGAAAAAGGGACCCACCCTTGGCTAAATAGAGGAAGGGCCCCAGCGGTAGAAGGCGCCCAGAACTTGTCAGAGCCTCCCAGCATGCTTCCCACCTTCCAGTCCTTCGTTCTGCCCCATGGGAAATCAGAGGTGGACACAGCCCTCTCTCCCCTGGGCAAGTAGTTGAGGATGCTCCTGTCTTCCAGGCCACAGGTCCACACACCATGCCCATGGCCCAAGTCCTCCTCTGATCCATAGATGATCACAGCGCCACCCCTATGTCCTCGGAATGAGGCTGCTGCACAGGGGGTTCCTGGGGTGCATGGCCCCGCTGCTCCAGAACCCAGCTCAGTCTGTGACAGTGACTTTCTTCACCACCAATTAAGATGCCACTCAAGACTCTGTACTGAACCAGGACTCAGGATTCACTCAGCTCACCTGGGCAGGCCCCCAAGGTCAATCTCAGCGCAGATGTAAGGGCCTGGGCGCAGAATCACCCACAGCCCAATCTCAGCAGCCAACAGTACAAAGGCCCTGGGAGAGAAACAAAGTCAGCTATCTGGTGATGGTCCAGTGGGAGGCCACACGGGGAGATGGGCACCACAGGTGTCCCAGCCTCAGAGCTGGAGGCTCCTCCCTCCCCTTCCTCTCTTCAGGAAGCCTCTGTGATGAGTTCCAGCCCAGTCCACAGAGCACAGATTCTCTACACCCACTTGGAGCTCAGAGGCCATGGAAATGGACTGCCTGGGCCTCAGGTATTAGGACCACATGTACAGCATCAGCAGGACATGAGGAGAAGCAGCACCAGACAGGGCAGCAGAGCTATAACAGCAAAGTTGAGCCCACAACACCAGAGGGGAGCACCACTTCAGCCTCATGGCAGGGCTTCCCTGCAAAGTCAGCTGGCCTGTGGGGCTCCTGCCGCAGGCCCATCCCTGGGGGACGGGCCACTATGAGAGGCATCCTGGCCCTTGGTGGACAGCCTCTTGCAGCACCCTGAGAACAAGACTGCAGACCCCAGTTCCTCTCTGGGTTTCATGGCTCAGCCGAGACACCCCTGGGGTTCCTTAGCAGCCCCTAGCTGCACCCTCACTATCCTTCTCCTAATCCAGGTCACAGAGCAGCAATGCCACCTACTCCAGGTCCAGGTTTCCAGAGAAGACAAATTTGCCTCTTTGTGGCTCATGGAGGTTCCATGGAATGTAGCTGAAAGGAGAAGCCGGAAATTACAATAGTGTCTCCCTTTTTTCCTTCCATCATTGCCCAGGACCAAAGCCAAGCCCAACACTGTGGCAGTTCTGTGTTACAAGGAGTTGAAATTCACTGTGGACATCAGCGCTCTACCAAATGAACAGTGACTGTCTTCAGGACTTCCCTCCTCTGCTTCCCAACTCTCACCCAAATGACAATGTTCCTAGGGCTCTAGATTCCATGGATTTAGATGTATTCTCACTCACTGCTTCACTCTTGGTTAAATGCATAGAAATGGTGCAGTAACCATACAAAGAAAAGGAAAACACAACCAAAATGTGATTATTGCCAAAAGTTAGTCAAAATACAAATGCAGGAGCTTCTAGGAGGACAAGAAAAAGATGCTACAGGAGGGTAAGGCCTTAGCCTGAGGGCAGCAAGGCGCACTCTGCCCAGGTCCCAGCATAGGACCTGCAGTCTATAGGGTCCAAATCAAGGGCAGAAGTGGATTTGAGGCTGCTCTTTGTAGATAACCTTGTTTCTGGGTGTCAGAGGTAAGCTCTGGAAAGCTGTGCACCTAACATCCTGCTTAGCTCCATGTTCCACTCATATGGGTCTCTGCTAGACTTACCACGGTGCCTGCCCAACATGGCACTGGGCCCTAGAGCAACAGCAAACCCCTTCAGTACTGACTTCGATGTTCTTTCAAGACCAAAATTGAACTCCTCTTTTTGCACACACACCAGTGTCTTCCCAATCAGCTGTCAACACATCATTCTGCCCACTCCTTCAAACTCCACTCCCTGTCAAACCTAATAAAAGCCTGTTGCTTATTTGTCTGCCTCAGAGGGAACTTGCACTCTTCTGTGCCCTCCTGTGCCCACACTAAAGGCCTTTTTCTTTCTTTCCTGCCTTTGCTTCTCTACTGTACCGAGAAAAACCTATCTATTATTACACAATGCTATGAAGTCTAAGTTTTGAGGATGAGTCTGTTGTAGGATAGCACAACTGACCATATTTTAAGATTTGTGGGTGCAAAGAGGAATGAAAAGCTGATTTGCTAAAAACAATATACCCTGCACCATTTACAGCTAGACGTTATGAGAAAACAATGAATAAAATGACATGGAAACTTGCTGAAAACAAAGATATCCAAAAAATACAGATAAGAAAAATATGTTCCTATAACAGGAAAATGAGTTTTATGGTAAAGTCACAAATAATAAATAATCTGAAATGAAGATAAGGAATATCTACACAGAAAATATATTATCATCACTTTCATTGCTCTTAATAACATGGCTTCAGATAAGATAAACTGACTGATTAGAGATGAGCTAGATAATTCAATTTTACCATCAGAGTGGGATGATTGAAGATATCCTACTGAGAAACAAAGATAATCCCCAGTAAAAAATTGTAAAGATATAGATTTCAACACCACAATGAAAAGATGGGACCTAATGTATATACTAAGAACCTAGTAATAACAGATGGATCATGTACATTTTTTGCTCAAAAATGATAGAACAACCATAAAGTATACACATGCTCTAAGGACATTTTAACAAATTCTAATAATCCATATCATATTGTCTGTGATAAATGCAACCAAATTATAAACTGTGAGTTAAAATAAGAAAAATTAAGGCAAGTAAAGCAGAAAGCATGTCCTGTTTGATTCCCAGATACACCCTAAAATTTTTAACAATTAAGTATTAATAATAATTCATTTATAATGGGTCAAGGAAGAAAATACAATAAAATTCATGAAACATTTGGCATTAAATGACTCAAGAGCTATAGAAGATCTATGGGAGACATCATCAAAGCATGCTGAAATGGGATGTTTATATCTCTGAATGAATGTTCAAAACAAGAAAGACATAGAGAAAAGTGAGTCAAATAAACAACTCAAAAGACAAGAGGCAAAGAACAAAAGAAGGCAGAGGAGGGAAGAGAAGGGAAGAACAGGAGAAGAAGTAGAAAAAGGAGTAAGAAAATAGAGTAAGTCAAATAAATAAGGCAGGAATTTATATAGCATGAAGAAACTGTGAATATAACCAAATAACAAGCCCTCCCTGCAAACCAGCGCCATGCATGGGCTGCCTGCCACTGCCGGTGAACAACCAGACCCCAGTCCCTTCTGGCTGTGGGCTTGGTAACAAGCAGAGCCAACCCTCCCCGCCAACCTCATAAGTAACTGGCTGATCCTGAGAAACACAGGCTGCGATGAAGTGAAATGCAGTTTGATGCCTGTGATGTTTGGTGTTTCACTGACTTTGCAGGTCTAGGGCCAGTGACCTGATCATCTGTTCAGAGGACAGCAGCACACAGTGTGGCATCTATGGGGGATCTGCTTCTGAAGGTGGTAGCCATTGTTAATTTCCTAGCATCTTGTTTTGAAGTCCTGTATCATTTTCATTGTTTTGTGGGTTGAGTTTTGTTCTGTTTTGTTTTGTTTGATTTTGTTATATCCAATGGTATGGGCAGCTATTTCAAAGAGAACAAGATGTATTATAGTAATCATTTTGGATTAACTATTGTTTTGAAGTCCTTTATTGAATTCATTGTTTGGTTTTATTGGTTATATTATGTTCTGTTTTGCTTGATTTTCACTATATCTGAAGTTATCTATAGCTATTTTGAAGACAACAAGAGGCATATGGTAACCATGTTGATTTTGTATTGTTTTGAAGTCTGGTGCCACTTACACTTGTTTGTTTTGATTGGCTTTATTCTATTTTATTTTGCTTGGTTTTATTCTCTTTAAAATAAAATTTAAAAAAAAGAAAAAAGTAAAAACCAAATGGCATAGAGATTAAAAAGCTATGAAGTAATTACTTAAAAAACAAAATGAGAGATGGTTAGGTAAGAAAAATGAACAACGTCCCACGTACACAACACAGTGAACTACTAGATATCTTCTAGTGTGTTCAGGTAAGAAAAAAAGTTTTAAAGCCCAGTCAACCCAAGGAAAGAAAGGAAAGGAAAAAGTATACAAGAGGAAAGCAGGTTATACTTAGGAGAAGTGAAAAACATGACTTCATAACCATTGAAAATATAAAAGTTTCACCACAAAAGATAGCAATCACAAAATTTTATAGGTGAGTTTTTAAAAACGCTCATATAAAGTTAATTATTGTACAAATATTTGAGTGAGTAGGAAGATATACTCACTATATAAGCTTTTTTATAAGATTGCCATCAAAACTGAAAAAGAACATGAACAAAAATAAAATTCAGCATCAATTTTGCTTGTAATCATAGATCATCATTATTTTTTAAAAACTGGCAACTCGCTCTACCAATCTATGTGTGTATAGGCCTGTGCATGTGATACCTTTTAAGAGAGTTAATCCCAGAAATGTAAAGTTGGTTGAATATCAGAATTGTCAGTTATTCACCACTTCAGAAGAAAAGTGGAGAAAAATCATGTAATCCTCACAATGGGTAAATGATCAGATCTCAGTAGAGCTCAGTACCAGTGGGGAGGGATGGAGCTCAGTGGTGGTGGAAGAGTTCTTGTGTCTATGAGGTCATGGGTTTGATTCCACCCTCCCTAAAAAAACTCAGTCATACTTCTGATTAAATCAGAGGCACATAATATGAGGCACTTCTCAATTACTGCCTCTCAGCTTCAAATGTCCCCTGCAATAGTGCACAGGGCCTCAGAGCTTCTCCTTTACAGCGAGCACCGCAGTAGGCTCTGCCACTAGAGGACAGTGGAGGACACACAGGAGAAAGCCCTAGGATTGCACAGCACTCATGGGTTTCTCTGGTCTAGCAGGGTGGCTGCTAGTGGTGCAGATGTGTGAGGACAAACTTTGTGATTTCTTTTAAAAAAATTTTTTAAAAGGCAAAAGAGGATAAGGACAACCCCAAGTAGCCACTAAGAATTAGTCCAGGAGACAATCTGGAGTTAAACATCTGGGCACTTTAACTCATATAGACATAAGATGTTATATCATGTGACCCATTGCATTCTGCTAATACTTTTCTACCCTTTCTCTTTCCTTACGGGGGGTTTGAATTTCACAAGACTACCTTGATTTTTGCTGATGTTAACTAGTAAGACTTCGTGGTTTGACCATGAACAACAAACCTTTCTAAATACTGCTGAAAATAAAATTCATCAGGCAGGCTGAGGGTGAAACTCTACAACCCAGTATTTGCCAAGTGTGCGCAAGGTCCTGGGTTTGGTCACCAGCATCAAATAAATATCCTGCATCCTAAAATGCTCATGCAAAGGACATTCTGACTGCAATAAGCACTGCAGAGCACTGAGAGTGCACCTTTGGCCTTGGCAAAGTCTGCAGTTAGGGAGGCAGTGAGTGGTGTGGCCAGTGGCCCTACAGCCTGAGTGAAATCAGCCACAGCCCTGACAATCTGTGACTCTGTCATTGTGTGACCTTGTGAAAGTGACTCAGCTCTTCTCCTGAGAGTCTCATCTGCAGAAGATGACAGCACGACTCAGCACAAAAGATTGTCACGAAGTGAGCAGGATGCACACTGGTCAGGGTTTATACCCTGCATGCCTGGCTGTATAGAAGCACCATGATCCGACAGTCCAGCAAGTCTATGGCAGTGCTGCTCTACGCTTAGTACCTCTGTCCCTGGCGATGCAGAGTCATCAGCTGAGGTCTGTTACCTGCCTGGCTGGAACTTCAGTACCACCAAGCAAAGACCTTGTGCCTCCTCCATAGTCCACTCATCTGCAGAAGTTTCTCTTGTGCTTGTCCTGCAGTCCACCCTGACTGACCACTACTACTTGGATTCCAGATCTCATGGAAATGGAGCTGTTTTGAAGGGAACTCTGCAACCCCAATCCAACCAGATTTTCTTTTGGGATGTAGCTTCTACTTCACTAGTCCTGTGCACAGGTAGAGTCCTTCACTGCACATGTGGTTGCAGGGATATGCACACTCAGTGCTTAGGGGATACGTCCATATCACACACAGGAAGGGCTCCGTTCCTGTGTGCAAGTGGCCTCTGCACCCACATTGCCTTCCCAGCACTGCAAGTCACACAAACCGTGTCATCCTGAGCAGCTGATAGCCCCATGTGCTGGACTTCTCCCTGCACAATAGGGATCATGCTCTCCCTGTCACTGGACAGTCCTGGCCATCAGGGACCAGGAAAACACTGAGAAAATACCTGGTCTCCTGTGTAACAGGTGATGTGACCCTTGTCAGTCTTTTCCTAATCATGGTGATTCATGCTCATCCCTGTGTAAACTCTTCTCATTGATTAAGGCAAGTTTGTATTAACTTTGGCCATTACTACTGAGGACAAATTGCTGTCAGGCCTTGTGATAGATTTATAACCCAGAGATTTTAGGTCATTTAATCATCACGCCAACTTTTCAAACAGAACATCCAGTGCTGGCATGGATGTGCAGTTGGAGACAAATGTGGGCACAAGGTCAGATATTTATGTGTCTCTAGATCTCTAAGTCTCAGGCCTTACTGAGCTACATACATCTCCCCAGGTTCAGCCCTGTGAGTCCTTTCTACTAAGTGATGCTGGCGTTTTCCTCAGTGTTCATTTTTACACTGGGGTCGTTTCTTTACCTTTCTCCATGTGTGCATATTAAAGTCATTTTTCAGGTGTGTGTGTGGCATGCTTATCTGTGATACGCAAGTCACCCAGTTTAGTGCTCCTGAGGAGCAAACACCCCCACTGCACCTCCCCAAGAAGTCACATTTCCCTTTGCATTCATCCCACCCACACCTCACCAAGCTCCAAGCACCGAGCAGTCAAGCACGATCGGAAGTCAGCTAGACACTGAAACACAAGCACTCACACTGGACGTGATCTTCATAGGCCCTCACTCTGCCCTCAGACTAGAGGATCGATGGCTCTGGGCAGGGGTCAGCCAGGACCCTGTGCAAAGGCAGGCCGTGGAGGCCAGGTCAGTACTCACGTGGTGACAGTGTTGAAGCCACAGGCTTTCAGCTTCAGCAGGCGGTCCCTCCAATACTCCCTGGGCACCCGGAAGTAGTGAATGGAGCCCCCAAAGATCAGGAACTTGTGCCCCTCTAGGGTAAAGTGTGCCCTGCCCTTTGTGGTACTGGCAGTGCCAAGGCCCAGAAATCTGCGCTGTAGCCTGGGAGGGGTCAGGTGGGACCAGTTAAACCTGGAGGGGAGAAGAGAAAAGGGAAGACAATGGGGGAACTGCTGAGCCCCAGTGGAGGCCAGGCCCCTGCAGACAGGACGTGCCCACCCACAGCCCAGGCACAGTGCTTTGTCCAGGGAAGGAGAGAGCCACCTCCTCACGGGCAAACCTGGGCCAAGACACATTTTGCTTTTGAGATGCAAGAGTCCATCCAGCCAGGGAAACATGGAGAAAGACAAGTGCCAGGAATAGTGTGTCCAGGGTTTGCTTCCAGGAAAGACACGGGCTGCAAGGAAAGGGACAGTGGTGATGAGGCGAGGCACAGCTACTTAAGCTGAGGACAGGAAGCTGGTCTGGAACCTACTAGAAGCCAGAGCCACTGGGACTCTATTCCAATTAGGTCTCCTCCTTGGGGAGCCTGGGAGGGGATGCCACCCTCACTGGGTCTTTCCAAGTCCCCACACCAACTACCCCTGTGACAGCCCAGGGGAAGGCTCAGTGACAGGCTGAGCAGTCCTCCAGGATCAGGAGGCATCTACACCCGTGTTTGTTGTGGGGCTCACTGTGCAGAAGCCCAGGGGAGACAGTGAGGATGGGGTCTTCAGCAGCAGAGCTAGGAGGTCAGATGCTGAAGGGGAGGCCCAGGAGTGATTCCTGCAGTTTGAAGGCCAGGGCCATAAACCTGGGCCCCGTACATCCCCAGGCCATGGACCATGTGCCTATGTATGAGCTGCTGAGCAACAGGCCCTGCAGAGGTCGCATCTGTCTCCCAGTAAGAACGCACAGGGGATGAGGTCACAGGGCTAAGGAAACACAGAGATCTCGGGATTCAGCTGGGCTGGTCAGGGTCATGGGTCACCTGGGGCAGGTTGTGGTGTCCGTGGCCCAGGGCCAGTGAGGAGAGGTCCCACGCTGCTGTGGAACTCTGGTGGCTGAAGATGCTGTCTGTGAGGCACTCGGGCCCAGGTCTCCCATCCTGGATGTTTCCGCAAGGTCTGCTCCTCGGCACAGATGGCTCCTGACCCACAGAGCCACCTCCTTCCTCCACAAAGCTCACCTCACCTCCTTCAGGGCCTGGCCAGCTGCTCCTGGGGTGGCTGTTGGCTGTTATCCCAGTACAGTGTCTACTGAAAGTGGGGACAATGCCTTCTAGCCCCGGGAAGTAAAACAGAATGATCCTGGGTTATTTTCTGGCCATGGGTTTTGCCAACCAAGTGTCACAGCCATCTGGCACAAAACAGTGAGACGAGTGGGAAGAACAAAGGGCAGAAGTGAGCCGCAGTGTTCTTGAGGAGTCCAGGTCCCACTGTTAGTTTCCAGAGCTGCCCTTCATATTGGTCATGACAAGTTGGGGAATAATCGCAGTCTCCATAGGACCAGTGAATGCTGACGTAATGACTGCACTGAGAGCTGGGGCCATGCGAGTGGGCTTGACCTACGTGTAACTCTGGAGAAACTTCCACACTGTTTCACAAGGTGATGCACACACTGACCTTCCCAGTGGCAGAGTGCTAGTTTACCCTTTGCCCCACCTCTGTGCCATCCTCCTGTCTTTCTCATAATAGCCATTCTAACTGTGGAGAGGTTGTATGTCATTCTGTTAATTTACTCTTCTCTGATGATCAGTGTTGAGTATCTTTCCATGTACTTGGTCATTTATATGCCTACTGTTGAGAAATGCCAGTTTAGGTCTATTGCCATTTTATGTATGTATTATTATTTTTTGAGCCACAGTCTCGCTATGTAGCCCAGGCTGGCCTTGAACTCACAGCAGTCTTCCTGCCTCAGCCTCTCCAGTACAGGGCCTACTACATGCACCAACATGCCTGGCTTCGATTGCCATTTTAAAATTAGAATGTTTATGTCTCATTTCTCTGAGCACCCACGTTCGGCTCTCAAGTGTACCCCAAAATCTCTGCCTAATAAACTTTTCCTGTGTCTCTTACTGATGTGTCCTGAAAATTCTTTTTCCTTAAGGGAGTCAGTGAGCCTCCAAGCATTGTATGCTTAGGATGGGTCTTAACCCACCTACTCCCAATGTCAGGACTACTCTGAGCCAGCAGCATGACTTTTCCTGGCAGATCAGCCAGGCGGTAAAGATGGGCATCCTGGGAGTGACTTCCCTAAGTCCAGTCAAAGGCAGCTCAGCCTCCTTCCCCACTTCCCTCAACTCCTTGCCCTTGGAAGCAGAGTGCATCTCTTTTTTCCTCCTAGTCTTTATGAAATGAGTGCTTTGGTGTGTGAAAGCACCAATGAGCAGGGCCCAGACTCCTGCTAGTCAGCGATGGGAAAAGGTCAAGAATGTCCTCTGGGAGGCGGGGTGGTCGCATCAGGTGCCCGTCATGTCCGCATGCCTCCTTCTTTGGTCAGATGGAATTTAAATTTGCTCGCCAGGGAGAAAAAATAAATAAAATCAGAATCTTTCAATTTTGATACTGAATTTTGAGTTTCTTATATATTCTGAACATTAATGTCTCATCAGATGTATAATTTGCAAGTATTTTCTCCCATTCTTTACATTGTCTCTTTACTCTGCTGTTTATTTTGCTATGCAGAAGCTTTTTGATTGGACGTAATCTCATTTGTCTATTTTTGCCTTTGTTTTGTGAGCTTTGGGGTTAATGTACTATTTTTATCTGATGTTTATTTTATTTCACCCTTTGAAAAATATGACGACATTTCCTTCTGGCCTATGTACAATATGTTTATAGTCAGAAAAAGGAAGCAACATGAAAAAAATGAGCATGAGGTCAAGAGGCAGCCAGGTGGCTACAGCTTCCATATACTCTTCAGCAGTTGACCCTGATTGCCTAAGATCTGGCAGTTACTCCCTTCTCCCCAGAAGAAAGAAGTAGGTAACTCTTTGTTTATGTTTCAATTTAGACTGCAATATAGCATGTACAAACATACCTTGAGGCCAAAATTAAAACAAGATACAGAGGCTTCGTTCAGCACATTTAATTCAATTACACAACTCTTCATTAATCTGGTCAAAGATTTGAGCATTAATATCAATCTCTGTCATTATCATGAAAGAAATTATTTGACCTCAAATTCTGCCAGATAGCAGCACCGTAGTTTTTGTAAAAACGAAATGGAGTAGAAAAAAATCCTAATTGGTCTTTTTCAGGTTACTTCAGGCTAATTCAGGAGGAGAGGTCAGTAAGGGTTAAAACAGAGACTTAGTCTGCTGACTCAGGTAGCCTGGGCCATCTGCTTTTCACAAACCACCAGGGTCTGTGTGAGGATCCGCTTCTTTAAACTGCAGTTTGGTAATGCAACAGTATAAATAACTCCATTTTGGGTTAGTCTGGTCTTTGCAGGACTTCGGTCTGAAACAATGACCATGATCTCCCTTAATTCTAACTTTTGGTGGGGGCTCTGTCCTCCGTGACAGGCTGACCACAGCACAGGCACTCGCATTACTCTGGTACTGTCACTTTGAGTTTCTGGTCTCAACACGTCCCTTAAAGCTTATGGTAACATCACAAACATTGTTTATCCTTTGTGTGAAGTTCTTTTGTATTTTTGTGATGCCAATGGAAAAAAACCCATGTGACACTCTGGATGACTGCACACCAACATTTTAAAATTTTGAGAGAATAGCGCATATCAGGGAAACTGCTCTTATGACTATTAAAATTATAATACCAAGAGTTTGGACTACACCCTTTTGCTGCAGTCACCATGAACCAAACAGACTGGAGTCAAACAGACTAATGGAAGAGCCAGATAAAGACAGTGTGCTGGTTTTAACCAAGCAGCCTGTTCCTGGATTTCTTGCAACTTTATTTTGCTAATACCCGACGCACTGTTGCTTCATGTGCCAGAAACATTGCCAGCACTCAAGCCAAAATCATCCCTGTTTGGTCAATGGATGATTTTAAGCAACACTATTATCTAGTACAACTTTAGCAATAGAATTTTTTAGTTTGTTATTTAACCAAAGCTTTTGCAGGAGAGCCTTCTATACAGCTTACTGTGATAGGGGAGATAAATGTCTAATTACCATCCAACCTGCAGAAGAGAAAAAAGACTCAACAACTAATCCTTCTCAAAAGAGGAATGCCCCATGGCTATTCTCTGTTTAATCTTGGAGGCAGGTGAAGAAGAATGAACAAATTAGATTATGAAATCACAAAGAAACCATTAAAATTTTTATCTCAGCAGTACAGTGGATAAGGATCAGTGCTAGTATTTGCCTAGCATGTACAAGGCCCTGTGTTCAGTCTCCAACAGCACACACACACTTAATTAAAAAAGCAAATTCCTAGCCCACGCTGATCTTTGGTCTTCCATGCATTGAGAACTGGTTATCCATTCATATAGCTGATCATGAAATTGTCAGCAAATAAGTGATTCCTATTTGGAAAGTGCTGCCATACTGCTGTAGGGCACAGTTATAGAATAGTAAACTTAAAGACATTTTATTCCCAAAAAATAGTTAGTGGCTGGGACTATGCTCCACTGCTTGTCATGCAGCTGCCTGCTAAATTCACTTGGCCTTGGCTGTCTGTGTCAGCTGCTTCTGCACAACATGACTGTGTGCAGCTGTAATGCTTGTGCTTTTCCCTTCCTGGAAAAATATATGTTGCTTCCAACCTGCTTCAGGGATTTCATGTTTGGGATAGACTGGCCCGGTCCAGGACACATTGAACTCTACTTGCTCCCCCTAAGGCCCCTCTCCTCCTTCCCAGGAATCTACTTAGAACTAATTGGCTTGATAACATACAATTTAATTCACATAACCAATCGTGTGACAACTTGCCATCAGTCTTGTAATTCCTATTTGCAAACTGTATTCAAACTGAACTCTAAACTGACTTGTGGCTGGTGATTTGGAACTTATTCCCACCAGCCCACTAGTACAATGAACAGTTTCCTTCTAACTCCTTGGTGCAAAGAGTCTTCCATTTGGGTTGATAATGGTTTTCTGCAACACCGTCACATAAACCAGTTTGTAAGAAACTGTTTGGAGCTTTTGCCGCAACCTGTCTTGTAATAGATTTATTGACCCTCACTGTTATGTTCTGTGATGAGGCAAATGCATTTCGAAAGCTCACTTTTAAAGTCAGGGATATAACTCAGCAGCACAGCACTTGCCTCACAAGCACAAGGTCCTAAATTCAATTCCCAGTATGAAAAAAATTTCACCACAAGTACAATTTGAGGAACTGTAATATTA